GATTTGCTCATGACTAATACACCGCACGAAGAAGAGACGGTGCAGTAGTATCCGTGAACTCCGCGACCCGAAAGGTCAACTCGAGAAGTCGGCAACTTGCTTACGGCCATGCTATCACAATAATCAGTTTCGAAAGGGAGACTTTTTTTAATCCAGCAAGGACTGCCGCCCAAACTGATCTTAAACATCGGTTGTTTATGTACGTTTAGGAGGCCACTGACCGAAAAGTAAATTAGTCCTAAAGAGATGACTTATAATCTTAGAACCTTTAAAACTACTCTATGAATTAAAATGAAAAGTCACTCTGAACAGTAAATTAGTATACGACCGTTTTAATATTGTGCTAACATACAAAATGCAACGCATGCAAGACGAAGCCTCAGGAAGAAGCTTCAAACAAATTCAATGTATCACGCAAAATTAAGTACAAAATTTAGAAGTTCAGTTATTTGTCAACCCACTGGATATGATTTTTCCCAACACAACTCTGCAACACACATTCGCTCCGTGCAAGTGATAACCGGACAGTTGAGCCAATAATAATCCGCAATCTTTTGACTGCACCGCGTGGTATTCTAGTAGTGTTCCACGTATCGCATCGTGACACCGCAAGGGAGAATTTGCGGCGGAACAATACGCGGACGGTAGCCGCCAGGCAGGAGGGGGCGTGCTCTTTTCCAGGTAGGCTGCAATAGGGCCGCGCCGGTGTGGTAACCGGGAAGTCCAGGTGACAGACGCCCGGCTGGCTCGTTACGCCGCGATTGTCACGCGGAGGGGGAGGAGGAGTAGGTTGACGCGCGTCGCGATCCTGGCGGAAGCGAAGGAAGCCAGCGGCCGGCGACGCACGGCCGGGCTCCCCGCCCGCACACCGCCACTCGGATGGCCTTCGATGCTGACCCTTCAGTCACGACAGCCCTTCCTTATGTCAGAAGTTACATACAAATCAGTTTATCTTTTCTCGTTGTTCACATGAGGGTTGACAATAGCCACAGTACTTTCCGTACAGACTCATACCCTTGGAAGGGCTGAATTATGGTTTTGTTCGATAAACACCGTTATCAGCGTTCAGTCAAGGAAAAGTCACGAGAATCGAACAATATATTCGACTTTTCTTTTTCAAATGAAATGTTCATGGGTAGATCTAATTTGTAGTCACGTGATACATTCGTTTTCCGAAAGGGGGAAACCCAATACCCATTGTTTGAATGTAATTTTAAACTAATGAAATTCCAACTGGAAGATAACGTAAAATGGAGTAATTGTGTATGTGCTAAAACCTTGTTTAAAAAATTAAATTTACCGCCACAAGAATAGCTCAGAGAACACATAAATTAGGAATTCAGACAATTTCTTTTATTTCAAACTTGCGACGTGACTGTAACGTTTAAACGCAGTTCAGCACTTTTATTCCTGTACCTTAATACTGCAAACATTCTCGTCAGTTTTACTATGTCACCATGTTCACAAATAGCATGGGAGTTTAGGTAGATACGTGTAAGTGACAATATCTTAACGCCTTAACTGTTTAAATGATTTTTCGCGCGTTTTTGAATTAACACAATGAGGTCGGGTAGGGCGGATGTTGCAAGTCTGACTGCTGACGGAACAAGCACCTGTGTGATGGTTTCTGAAAACGCTTCGTGGCCTTCCTACGTCGAGCATTAGTTGTAAAACGCGAGAATTTCGCCATATCACATCACTTTATGGTCCGCTGCTGCTGTTCTAGTTTGCTGATGTCATTGAGGACGGGCTTCATTGTTACAATGTCAACATAACAGGAAAGTGCTGCAATTACGAATACAGTTCACACATACGCACGCACGCGCGCTAAAGACAAACTTTCGAATTATTTTCAACTAATAATACTTTAACTAAATCTTTTCCTTTATCAGCTAGTTACGAAAAGCACAAAAAATTCGTAATATTAGAGGATAAAGGGTTAAATATAGCATAACTATATCCCATACAGTTATGGTACTATTACATAACTGGGAATTCAAATTTCAATAATTAGATAAGGGACTAATAAGACACATAACGAGATCCCCCAAATGAAGGAGTATTGATTTGTCGTAAATCATTACATAAGACCGCAACCCTGAACAAGTATTGCGAGCACAAGCATAGACCAGGAGGAAAGACGGTCGCGGTCTGTCAACATCGCGGGGACGTTCTGTGCCACAACAGGCGCCTTCACTCGCCCCGTCTCCCGGCGCATTCTGTACGCCTCCGCCTTCGGTCGTGCGTTGAAGTCACCGACGGCAAATGCTTAATTGCAAGCATTTCTACGTCTGTTGCAGCGACGGCGGTGACTTTCGCTCGCCCCCGCCAAGGGTCCGCTCCACGGGGGAGCTGTACGCTCGTTTCGCACGGGAATCCACTCTTTTGAAAGATCATATTGCGCAGCAACTGTGTATCTGCTCATTAAGAAATGTCCCGCTTCGAAACGAGAGATAAGATTGTGGAAGATTATAGGAGTGGATAATCGCCCGCTCAGAACCTCACGATGGCGTGACTTTCGATGAAACAAGAAAATTACTTCCGTAATATTTCCTCCAAATTTTGCGCCTGTGAAAGTAGACAGGGTACGTAACACAATGTGTAAATATTACAAGTCACAAACGCCGTTATACAATGCAGATAAATGTGAAATAGCGTCGTGTGCATATAATAAGACAACACAAAACGCAATTCCCACCCAACTCCACGTCCGCACCGGGGGCAAGCCCATTCGAGAAACCGACGAGAAAGCCGCCAGTGTTGCTTCTGCGGCAAGGTTAGGGGAAAATTTAGCTCGCGGGCGCCCCAGTTACCTCGCGGCGAACAGAAAACAATATGTCGGGTCAGCGGCGCCGCTAGATGTAACGGGGAGAGAGAGCAAAGAAGCCTCCGGTTCGCGCCAAGGCTGAAGGAGCAAAAGATCAGTCTCTCGTCCGGCTCGCACCTCCGGGTACTAAATCTCCCACCTCCACCCCCTCGTTTAGACCGTCGGGTGCCGATCCACCAGAGACCAAGCTCGACGTTGTAACGAGCGCTTTCCAAACAGTTGGCCCTCATCTTCTATCTAGTATCTGTTGAATTACTCTCGAAAGAACCGAGATTGCAAGGGCACGTCGAAGTATATTGAATTACACCATCATTAACGAGTGAATAATGAATCAGCACAATCTTTAGGGGGAGGGGAGGCGGGCTGGAATATAAAAAAGTACAATAGAGTGTGCTAGAGCGGGGCCAACGGGTTGGCAAACGCGGAGAATACGAAAAGGTCATCGGGGTTCGTCCCGAAGCCGAAGTGGGTTGCGCCAACAGTGACGACGCGGCACCCCCGGGTGCCGCCGCGCGACATTTCGCATTAACGACACGAAAAGCCAAAGAAGGGAAAGATAGAGAAGAGGTGGACGGGTGAGCGAGAGGATCCAAAGAAATTACACGGACGGCGGTAAAAGATGTGGAGAAAGGGGGCGGTGGCGGCGGCGGGATGCGAAAAATGAACAGGAGTAATTGGCGAGCGAAATGATGTCAGTGGGTTCTTCCCAAGATGTGAAAGGGGTTCGGACGTCAGAGGTTTCTCGAGATGGAAATGGAATTTGTTTTTGCAGCAGATCTACGCTTTCAAACTTCTCCAACTCTTTTTTTCAGTAAGGCTTACGATAAGTTAATCGGCGAACGAACGTTTTTCATGTTCTGCGTAAGGAATATGCATTTGCCGGAGACCCTAACTCTAGAATTGTGAACACTCTTAAAGGATGAAAAATAAAAAGGGTTACTTTCACATTGCCAGAATATACGTATATTTGAAAAAGGATTAATGAATATTAATATTAATCCTAAACAGAACCTTCGGCACAGGAGCCTTCATTGGGGGCAATGTTAGTGTTTAATAATCAATTAATGTTTTTAAAACGACAATATATACGTAATACATTTTTAACTTGCTACTTATAGGTATTTGGTGGTAACGAGAATTGTCAGACTAAATGTGTAGTAGTAAAATGTACAAATAACATTCGAATAAGTCATTTGAATATCTTTACAAACATACCTTTACAAAAGATTGTAATTTAATTATATTATGAAATGTTCGATGAAGTTTAATGAACAATATTTATTAAAAAATTATATTAATAAACACAAAGCTCAATTATGCAACTAAAATATTTTTAGTCGTCGCCCGCAGGGGGGGGGGATCGTCCCACTAACCAATCATACCATCTGCCAATCATAAAAATTTACACTAGAAATTATATTAGAAATTAAATGTTTAATCTGCTAAGGCGGGAAATGTTTCATTATAAAGTTGCACCAGAGTAGAAACACTAGTCTGCCCTGACGACAAGGCCTGTAGGAAAAACCACTTCATTCAGCACTCCACACACACGATCATTGCATCATAAATTAAAAGATGACGTTCTTTGAACGTGAAGGCATTGTTGCATCATAAATAAAAGATACCGTTTTTGCAACTCGAAGGCTTGCTTACAAGCAGGATTTATATTTTATTTCTACAACGATAGCCATCACATTATTCCAAATGCCTCTCCTTTACGAACGTTTCTCGTCTGTTATCGTCATAAGCTGCCTTAAGTGATTTTTTTTTAAATTATCAAAAAGAGTTAAAAATTGTGTGCCATACTACGGGGAGAGCATGGTTTCTTACGCGCTGGAATGTCTATCGTAACTCGTATACATATTAACTTAAATTCTGAATAAAGGGAGGAACGACCTTTTTTGGGGGGGCAAGAATTGATACAAAAATATTCGTTGTGCTAAAATAAAAAATTTGCAAAGGCAAATCAGCTCCAGGTTTACGCTATTATCCTAAGTGCTTTACGTGCAGAAATTTTCACTTACTGCCGCGATAATTTCGTTTCCAGTAGAAAATGAGATGGGGCTAATATTGTAGGATTCTAATGTACATCTAAAAGGGCTGTTTGTTTACATTTTGGTAGCGGTGCCTGGCGAGAGTGACCACAGAGTGTGTGTGTGTGTTGTGTGCGCAGCGCTGCTGGCCGTGTCGGCGGCGCCGTGGAGCGCGCGCGGCGCGGCGGGCCAGCCGCCGCCGCCCAACGACCCGGACCTGGCGACGGCGGAGGACCCCTCGCAGTGGAAGGAGGAGAACGAGTTCACGCCCTTCGTGGGCGACCGCTTCGACGGCTTCGACTGGCGCCTGTGCCAGGAGGTGGCGCGCCTGGCGCCGCGGCACGCCAACGTCGTGCTGTCGCCCGTCAGCGTCAAGCTGCTGCTGGCCATGCTGTACGAGGGCGCGGCCGGCGACACCGCCGCCGAGCTGGAGAACGCGCTGCAGCTGTCGCGCCTCGAGCCGCCCGCGCGCCGCCCCGAGGCCCGGCGCAGGTTCAGCAACATCGTCGCCGCGCTGCAGGTGAGACGCGCTACGTACGCGGACTCGAAACATATCGCTCCCCCCCCCAAAAAAAAACAGAAAGAAAAAATGCTGAGATGCGTGCCATTTTGACCGCGCGTAAATTCTTAGAATGATTGATTACTTTGTTTCCGGGCGGGTCAACAGCTAAGGTCATTAGTACCGTGAGTGTAGGGCATTTTTTTCGTGGGAGGTGGCGGTGATCTGCCCCCACTGAATAGCGGCACTCGGCCCCGACCGTCCTATCAGCTTGCGGGGTTTTCCCAACTAGGTATCTGCAACCAGCGGGCACCGCCCTGCCCGGGACAAGCTCTAAGCTCCCGCCATGGGTGGTGCATGTACGCAGTAAGTGTGGAAGTGCGGGGTGAGGATAGGACTAGCAGGATCGAAGGAAAAATCGCGTGCGATCTGTAGTCAGTTTGTTAAGGTACTGCTAGGGCATTCGCCTGCTGTTGATCGAATAAACTACGGAAATCTACCGATCAGAGCAGCCGGCCGCCAGATTTTTTTTCAACACCGGCTGAATTCGACGTAGCTGGTTTCGAAAATCTTGCTACCGCCCAGATTTGAACTCGAGGACCTCTCTGTCAGATTCACTGTAGTGACATCAGTTGATGGCTTGATCCACTTAAGCATTTCCAAGCCTCGTGCCCGTGCTGCGGCGCATGCAGTTTCCGCGGCGCACAACTTTTTCTATCGGCTCAAATGAATCTTGGCACTTACAGAACATTTTCTCTTTTGTTATTTAAGGTCGGATCAACATGTCGGTTATTAGCGATCACAATTGCATTTAACGGTGTGGCACCTATGAAGATGACATGATATGGTGATGATAGGGGGTGAAAGGATGAACACATACAACCATGCCACAGGCAGGTCTCTAACCTGCGAACCTTCGGTCCGAGATCGCTACGGCGCTACAGCCTTAACGATCTCGGCCATCCGGAGCGACTAATTTTGTTGATTAATTCTTTGAAGCGCGAGTGCGGCGGCTCGGAATTAGGGTTGCTGGGTACACCTGATCTGGGAGGTCCTAACTCACGACTGATTGTCACTATATTTAGTGCTGCAAAATGATAACGAATGAATGTCTCCTAAAGAAATATTCTTTGCTCGAAATAAGATCGCATTGTGCCTCGGAGGTTTGTACGCTCTTGGGACACTACATAGTGGGGATCACGGCTCCTCAAATGACATGCCGGTACGAGGCGCCAGTCTCCGGCCGGCGGCGTGGGTCCCCTTCACCCAAGCGGCGCTTCGTCATCTTCTGCAAAAGATTGTCCGGCATGAATTACGGGCGCGAAGGCGGGCGCGAAGGCGGGCGCGAAGGCGGGCGCGAAGGCGGGCGCGAAGGCGGGCGCGATTCTCAGTATCTGCCATACGCTCCTCGAAATTTTATAAACAGTACACGGAAAAAGCCTTGAGCTATCACAGGGGTTCCGAATACGATAATTCGGCAGCAAGATGTCGTTGCCAGACATACTCTTATGTAACGAATCTCAGCCGTGCTATGGCGGCGTGCGTAACTTCGACATGGAGCAACGTGTTTGTGAGAAAAGAAAGTAAGCTACCAAGTGCAGTTAGTCAAATATTATAATTAAAAAATGACATCGCTGCAGGTATCCATGTAGAGAAATTGCCACTGCAGCTATTTACTTCATGCCTTCGAGAGGGAAAGCAATGAAATGAGTAGAGTCTGGTAAATACAGTCGAAATATTGCAATAATGAATGCATTCGTACCTATGAGAAAAATGAGATGTAGGAATACTTACATTTAATTTCATTATTTCGCAATTAAATCCCGCAATTAAATTTCATTTATAAATTTGGCGATTAAACACTTCTTTCTGACATCATTCAACTTTGTCCGAAAAACAAATTGCCCGGTCCATTTCATTTCTAGGTCATTCGCCCGTCTTTCCAGCTTCCTCGCATTTAAACTCCCTTCCTTTCCAAACTCCACTGCAACACGCCCCTCCGGCATTCGTTGCAAGGCTTACTGTGTTCGTTACGACACGGCGAGTACTGTAATAGTAACAGTCATGTCGCAAGCCCAGATTATAAAGATTGGCCGGGAGAACGCGGATCCACCCCTTGGAAGGAAAGGAAACCGTTCGCGACCACACAACCTTCCGTCCCACCCACGCGCTTCGGACCGTAAGTCAAGGTCCAGGCACTTGCGGTACCGGCAGTTAAAGTAGTAGCTAGGACTTCGGAGCCACGCCCAAAAAAAACTGGTCACCTCGTGCGGCGCCGGGATAAAAAACATAACGTGATGGGGCTTTAAGTGGTTGGCATTCAATGACGGACAAATTTAATAATAAAACACGAAGCAAACGAGTGTGTGTAGGTCGAAAAAAAGTGTAAAAACTCGTTCAGCATTTTCTTTCATGATTGAGTAGCGTTCATTTTTGACACTGGTCTATGTCATGTTTCGAATACAAATAGATCGAAGGCTAACTCTAAGGTGAATAGTTTTTTACGAATTTTGTTTATGAGTACACGCAAAAAAATTATTCCTGCACATCACGGCGAAATTAATTTCCAAAATTACATTCCGCAAGCTTGGGCAAAACCATTTGCCAAAATGGGCTCTCACAACACAGCAGCACGAAATCATACGAATGCCCAATTAAACGCAGTGGGTGGGCGGGTGTGGCGCAAGCTACAACAGGAAAGGAATTAAAACGTCGTTAAAGGGAAAAGAGTAGCACGTCATGACTCTGGCATTTTGAGTGGCAAAACGCTTTGGGCAATTTTTAAAAACTACGACGCCGAAAGGAATCAATTGGGAGTTGATCACAAATTCCTTCCCGTCTACACGCACGTTTTGAAGGATTACCCAAGAGCAGGGTAGGGACATTTAAACTTGGCTCCGTTAACATTTTACTTTCGTGAGAATAAGATTTACGGTTGAAAGTGATAGTGGCATGAACACAAGAAGTTACGTAACACTTCACACTTCATTAAAAGGCGTCCTTTTGGCACACAGAATCTTATTCTTTCGATTAGGTACAATCATATGTAATGTAAACACCGGCAAGAATCAGACGACCAAGGATTCTATATTTATCCAGTTAACATCGGGGATCTTTCTCCTTAGAAAGTGCGAGCGTAAATGTCGCCTATCTTCACATCTGACGGAGAAAGGCCTCTCTGCCCATGGCCTACTCTTCGACACGCGTACTCGACATGTACGTCTCTAGTATTGCATGAGCTATTAGCGTACACGAACATTTATGCAAGTTATCTCTTCCAGGATTACCATTAGAAATTCTCAAAAATTGTACTTAATTTAATGACCACCGATTTCATCATTGCTAATTACATTAAGAGTCGTCTACATCGGAAAGTAGATTTCGGATGCCGGTAACTGCGAAAATGGTCATCGACAATATTTAAATGTACCGTTAGTGATTTTTTTTTCTATCGCGAATTCTGCATTTCTGGCTTCTCTCTACTATCTCGTAAACCGCAAAACCTCAAGAAAAATTCGCGAGACCCCCGAGTGCAGAACGCATCGCATCGGGGTTGCGTCGCCGTGACGTCCTTCCGTATCAGCATCCGGCTGAAAGCCGCGGGAATACCCGAGGCTCGCGTCTCGCGGTTCGCGCCTGCGCTCTCGACCCGGCGCTCGAAGGGCACAGCGCCAGAGCGGGATGCGATGGCTCGTGACGCCCCCGAGCGTGACCCGACGGGGCCCGTCAAGGATGCCCCCCCACCCCCACCTGACCCCGGGGCCGGTGCCGCATCCGTCCCAGCGCGCACCCACTTGCCCTTCGCCGGCCGCGCCCGCCGTGCCCAAGGCCGCGGGTCGGCCCGGCCGGGGACACGGCAGGTGGATGGGCGGGTGAATGGGCGACGCGACAGGCTCGGAAGGGGGAGCGTCCGCCTCCAGCGTTTCGGGAGCCGGCGTGTGCGGGGGCGTGAAATGGCGCCGTCACGCCTTCTTGTGCGCAGGCAGGAAGACGCCCTGCGCTGGACACAAAAAGTATCCCCGCACTCCGGATGCCTCTCTCACTCAACCTCTCCACTCGGCCGAGACACCGCCAACTCGCTTCCGATGCCGGGATTGTTTCCTCCTGATCTGACAATAGTTAATTGGGGGGTTTCTCGCTCAAACACTAAAACAAGATTGCGTTGTTCAATTAGAAAATAGACGCCGAAGTCCACTAATTGAAATGGGGGGGGGGGATGCATATGACAAATGGGAAAAAATCCCCTAAAATTTGGTTTATGAGATTTTTCTACTGAATATATATGTGCACACCAAAATTTGAAACGAATGAAAGAAAGAATTACAAGAACATCCAGCATTTCTCTTTTCTAGTAATTATTCAAGAAACACTATTTAACATATTAAATCAATCATATCAAAATATTCAGAATTCAACATTTAAATAAACAACTCATTTCGAGAGAATGCTTTTTTAAGATACCATCACGCAATCTTTTCCTCCTTTCGCGATGCTTGCCTATTTGGAAGCAAAAAAGTTTCTCTGAGGAAATGACGGGCACTAAAACACCGTAACCGACCATCTCTTTTTTGCTTTACTGCACAGCAGATGGGGATATTTCAGAATCATGACTCGCGAAAATGTTCTCAACAAAAGCTCCACCGACAAAATTCCTTCGTAACTGAAGTATTCTATGCAAAACAATGACCCGACCTTTCATTTTTCTCCTCCAAAAATAAATATTAGCACACATCATGAAAGAGATCGGGGTTCATACACATCTGAGCAAACCCGACAGGATATTCATAGGATTACACATATTTAAACTACCAGCAGAGATCAGATTAATAATGAAGCAACGAAATATTTTTGTTTCCAGCAATCGAACCCGGACTTCCAGCTGGATTTGGCTCTCCGGATGTTCGTGGACGACACCTTCGCGCCTCGAACCCGATACAACAAGATCCTGCGCTACTTCTACAACGTGGAGCTGGAAACGGTCGACTTCGAGCAGGAAGGTGAAACCGCGAACAACATCAACGCCTGGGTCAACAAGTCCACCATGGGCTTCATCAAGGATCTCGTGAAAGGTAAATACCATATCAGAAGCCTTCGGCGAATGTCGGGAAACCTTTCTGTTTATTTTCATCATTACGGTCTTTATGAAACTGGTCGACTACGGAATTAAAACATTGAGTATTCTCGGACAACCCCTTTATAGATTTATGATTCTATTAATGGTCAATGATCCATGTTACTTAAATTTTAATAATTAATATTCATAAATCCATACTGAAAATCCACAATCAATGGATTAATAAGAATGAAGTACATCACAACGATTATTTGGAGATATTTTCTTTAAAATGTAATTGCCCACCCCATTTACATCGGCAATCCTTCCTTCAAAATTTCGCTGTATATTTTCCGAGGATAATATCTGAACATTCCTCCGAGAATCCCGAGTCGTTAATCTGTCGCTCTCGCCGCAGCGGACGACCTCCGCGACGTGCAGATGATGCTGGCCAACGCCGTGTTCTTCGACGGCAAGTGGCTGGCTCCGTTCAGCGAAGACGAGACGGCGGAGGCGGTCTTCTTCTCGCGCCCGGGCTACGCTTACAACACCACCTTCATGACGCAGATCTCAGACTTCTACTACTACAACTCCAGCGCGGTGGGCGCGCAGATTCTCCGGCTGCCGTACAAGGTGAGCATATGCATGCTTTCCGATGCCGTGTGGTCTTAAAGCATGATGTTGAGGCCAGAAGGAAAAGGAAAAGGAAATATAGACATTTTTGCAACCCGTCTCTATAAAATGACTTGTTAGTTCGAAATTGAATGCATGTTAACATCCACAAACTCACCACAATAAGGATTGAGAGGTTGCCTTTGTTTCGGAAATTTTATATTGCTATCAGCAGACGTTACTAATGATCCAAACTATCATAACTCTACCAAGCAGCAATATTTTTTTATGTATTTGTCTAGATACGATATTGACCCACGTGTGTACGTGATATGTGTGTGACCCACGTACATTAATACGAGGATTATGATCCAATTGACGGTCATAATGGTACAGCATTATTTCTCTAAAAATTCATACACATAAAAAATATATACACCGTAGTTACCAGTACGATAAACGTTTCCATTCGACAACTGTTTCAATAATTAGTTTTTCAGTTCTGCATTAATTATAAAATCCATTCTTTACACTACAAATAAGCATTTTATTTTATTTCCATAATTTTTTCTCCATCCCAAATTTTGTTCCGAATATCCGAAATTTCGGATTTGCGGAGTTTGGATTAGCGAGGTTCTAATGTATATCGTTAGTTCAACCATAGCCGCGTATTTCTAAGTCCACACAATAATCGTTTTAAAGAGCTTATCAGATGCCCCAAAAATTGTAATTCCGTTACATTGAAATCTATTGTCTACTACTTTACATAATGTTCTCTCCATATATATGTCCAAGAATACGAGAAAGTAAAAGCGATAATTGTTTTGAGATACGCGTCCTGATTGAAGGATATCAGATGTATTGTCAAAAGCTTTCGGTGTCATTTTAATGAGATTAACAGCTATCAGATAGATAAGTTACATTCTAGAGAAGTGAAAATTAACCTGTACTGTTAAAGAGCATGCATGAAAGCAAACTTGTTTTAACACGTTTTGTATCTACATCCTTTCACTACCTAGTGAACTTATAAACATATTCCAATTTCATTTTTCATTCATTGAATGTGTGGCATACAACTTCCATGGGCCGGTATACAACTTGCATGTGCCGATGTGCTTCTTCTCAAATCACCGCTCATAAAGTCCGACTGGCGTACCCCAAAGAGCCGTCAAGCGTCTTCAAAGCAATAAGGAGCCATCCATAAATTCCGTAACGCAAATTCGGAGTATTTTGTATACCGAAACACCCCTCTATAACGCACCTGTAACACACACTTAAACCCCCTCTAATAATTTCGTAACGCTTGCAACAACCCCTCTCCCTCAGATTCAATCACTTCGATTAAAACTATTTTCATTTAGTGTAACAATTTATAGAATATAACTACTTTAATTTCTTATATTTGTAATTTAATTTGTTAATATGGTAATGTTTTAGTATAAGACTGAATACAAGGAATTATTTCAGGACACGTTTTTAGCGAAGATTTTAAAATCAAAAAAAAAAAAAGCATTACGTAATATTAAACTATGACCCCCCCCCCACTTTCCCCTATGTAACGCAGCGCAATGCGGACTCAACCCCCCCCCCCACACACACACACACTTTTCAGCGTTACGACGACTAACTCTCCCCGCGCGTGTGCGCGTGCGCAGGGCGGCAAGTACTCCATGTTCGTGGTGCTGCCGCACGAGCGCGACGGGCTGGAGGGCGTGCTGGAGCAGCTGTCGCCGGACCGCGTGCGCCAGCTCATGTGGAACATGACGCTGGCCGAGGTGCGCGTCTTCCTGCCGCGCTTCGCCTTCGACACGCGCACCGACATGAAGGAGGTGCTGCGCGCCATGGGCGTGCGCACCATGTTCGAGCGCGCCGCCGACCTGCAGGGCGTCGTGCCGCGCCGCCAGGGCCCGCTCTTCGTCAGCTCCGTCGTGCAGAAGGCCCTCGTGCAGGTCAACGAGAAGGGCACCGTCGCCGCTGCGGCGACCGGTACGTTTCCACCCCTTTTCTCTATTGCGCAGCTACACACACGGCCCCCGCCGGGGGAGAGATCCTGTCTGCGTAGGTCGGCACGGTCTCTGGTGGAGAGTTGTAGACCACCAACCTGACGACGTGACTACCTCTGAGAACCTAGGCAACCTGGGTGGGTAATTTCCCCTGCCCCTTAGTTTTACTGAGTGTAACCGACACAGTTAGCCTCAAGGTGGAGGCAGTGAGTAGGCAATGATCAAGCTCCTGGTTGCCGGTTCAACCCGGTAACTCACCAGTTGAGGCAATGCGTGCCGGCCTTCGATTGGGTGAAGGAGGTTCTTAGGAACGCTCTGGAATCTACATGTAAAAGTCCGGCGGGAAATTACCCACTCAGGTTGCCTAGGTTCTCAGCGGTACTCACGTCGTTAGCCTAACGGTGCAGGCAGTGAGGAGACGGGAGGGGGGGCTCCGAGCCGCCCGGATCTTAGTTCGGGTGGCCCTCAGTTAGGCTCTCGGATTCGTCGTAGCAGTGGCCCAATTGTTTGGGCAAAGAGAAGGGACTCTGTGTTCCCGGGCATGCGAGGTGCACGTATCACACGAGGATATTAACTCCCGCACTGTGCCTGGGCTAGTATCGCGTGACTAGCACGGCAGCCAAACCCCAGGCATTTGAACGGGAAGGTTCGGAGGGCAAAGCTGGTTCCGCTGGACTCGGATATCGGCCCGATTCGTCATTTGCGGTGGCGGGGGGGGGGAGAATAAAAGCGGAAAAGCTCAGGAACCCACCCCGGGGGACTTGTGCCGCCCCGACAGAACACGATTGTGTGCCCACTAGGTACAAAAGAGGGAATATTCCACAAAAAATTCTAGTTTACATTGGAATGTTAGTGTATAACTATTGGTCTTTAGCAATGCAACACTGACAATGAGGAAAATCTCATTGGAACACGTTGCAAGTTGAACGTGTTACCTGTTGTACGAACTGTTACGGGCTGTAACATTCCACTGTAATTTTGGAAATTTACAAGCACTGTGTGTGGAAGAATACCGTTTACCACATGGATTTCTAAAATATTTTTGCGGTAACTACACATTTTATTCTCCGTATGTTATAAAATCAACTGTAGCAAAATTAGTCAACAAATCCATAGACTTCTTTATTTCCCACATTAACAATGGGTTTTCTTTTCTTGTTTTCCTCCCGTAGAGAAGTTTTATATGCAACGCACGTGATACTTCTCTATTTGAATAATCTTTCAATGTGAAATATTTTTCTGGTCTAGTAATCACGAAAGAAAAGTAAAGCAATCTTTTCTTAACAAAAAAAAAAAAAGAAAAGTAATCATTTCTTGACAATTTTACGAGTACCCTGTTTTAAATAATTTGTGTTTTTCTGAGCAAATCAAATTTGTTTTCCACGATTTCATTTTTCACTATAATCACTGTAATTCTCTATCAGGCTCATTTCATTTGTCGACATGTTTCGAGTCACTTTCCGAAACAGAAAAAAAACTGGAAAAAATCCTTAATAGTAAAAAATCTGTGCAAACAAAAAAGAATATGGAATATTTTTTCTACACATCTCGCAAGATATTAGTTTAACTATTGGTATTCCTGAATAAACAGTTCACCGACTTGAGATTTTTTGTAAGAATGTCCCTCGTATTAAATTTCTAAAACGCCTAATTTAAATTTGCTTCTTTCAATCTCGACCGTGTGCCCCAGTTTGAGTGTCGCTCACCCGATCTGTATGTCTGTCCACAGAGGCGTCGACGACGAACCGTTTCGGCGGCAGCACCAAGAACGTGTTCAGCGCGCGCCACCCGTTCCTGTTCTTCATCGAGGACGAGGCGACGGCCACCGTGCTGTTCGTGGGCAAGGTGTCGGACGCCGCAACCCCGGCGGCGACGGCGCGCAGCCCCTGTCAGCCGAGGTGGGCCGCCCCCGGCGCGCGCACCGCCCCCGCCCTGGCCCGTCATGCACCACGCCCCGCGCCGCTCCCACCCCCGGCGACCCGTCTGCGCTTCCTGCGCCGGGACAAGCTGGTCATGTGGTGAAGGGTGCAGCGCTGGGCTGACGCTGGGCAACGCTTCACGCCAATGACGTCACACACAACGCCCTCCCTCACTCGTTTTTTTTTTTTAACTATTTTGTTTAACTGTTGAAAGACATTTTGATCCGACCGCATCTGCTGGACAAGGTGTGGTTTTTCGCACTCACCTCCAGAAGCGTTAAAAACGCTCGTGGCCGGAAATTTTCCCAAGAAAATGACATGCGGGGTACCTCACTCAGCAAATTCAGCAAGTATTGCAACAAACAAGATTTAAAAAGGCCGCTCGAGCTGTCAGATGACGTCATTTGTGAACGGCGCCCGAAAGTCCTCTGACCAATTCATGCTACAAGGGAAATTCCTAGCAGTAATTTTTCTTATGCATGGTCGATGTGATGACTTTTCGGGTGCCAGGTGACGTACGATTCCCGGCCCTGCCCTCCCCTCCTACGCCGTCGGCCCTCGAGCGACTCCCCACACAGGACAGAGGGGGTCGCTTGTCGCGCTGACTGCCACTAGTCTCGCTTCTTAGGTTTGCACGAGCCCCCCCACCTCGCTGTTCGGCTGCCCATGCTTGCGCGCTGGACATGTGTTTGTGTTATTTATTTATATTAATTTATTCGCTAACATTGTTGTGTCCCTGTTATCTATTTGTGAAATAAATAATTAACAATAAAATTAATGTGTTCTTAAAATCTTTGTGGTGTTCTCATCCATTTCAGTGTGTGTGTGTGAAATCGCCAATGACACAAAAGACTGTCAGATTCATGCATTTTCTGTGGTAATGGGTTTCGTGACTAACAAATCTAACATTTTCCCCTTATTTTCACTTCGAGGAAATCTATAAATTACCAGCCAAAATATTTCTGAAGGTTATGAAAAAGGAGCCAGCACGACAATCGATGACCGCAAATGATGCTTGTGACGTTATCTAATACATTTAATCTGCGACGCATGGTATTAAATTTTCACCAGGTATGTTGCACAAAATCAAAAGAGAGGCCTCGAGAGCCACAGTGGTCTAATAACTATCTGTGGGGAAACCTAGAGGGATCTAACTTGCAATGCTAATACATGGCCAACAGGTCACTCTTGCTCTCACGAAACATTGTACACATACTAATTGCGGCCGCATGACACACAATAGCACTAGGTTTACTGTTAATTTTTTGTTAAATAACACATCGATGAATTTCCTTTACATCCTCTGCTCACATACTATGCCATGCGTGCCTAGTAATTTTTTCTGCAATCCAAATTCATAAAACACCTTGCATTTGCTGTGACTGCCCTAAAAACGATTTTTTTTAATTTAATACATTTAAAAAAATGATTGGAAACTCCCAAATTTTCTTGCCCAAAAATTGTTAAAATAGCTAGTATAATATTCTTGTAAATTACTTTCATTTATTTAAACTTCAGCAAAGCTTTGAACTAAATTTTTACTTTAGAGATTACAAAATTAAAAGGTGCATACAAGCACTTAATTGTGCATGGCTGGTGGAGGTTAACATATCTAATAATATAAATAGGAATATTATGTTCGACTTCATACATTGACGATTGTAAATTTAAACTAGTTCTTATTAACTTCCAAATTTATGAACTAAAAGAATGTTAAAAATTATAAATGGACTCTAAATGGTCGCACAACTGAGACGAGCTTTTTGAGATTTTCAAAAGTAAATAAATCCGGTACAAAAATGTACACACCATATCATGTTTTTACAGATATACAATGTATTGCAATTAGTTTCACTGCCGTTCCTGCCTCATTGAAGATGTTTTTCCTATAAAACACATTGGCTGTCACAATTATAATTATGATTCTTTAATATTTTCAAATTTCGAACCCGGTTTTGTAATCACGAAAAATGTTGATATAAGATATAAGACCAATTAATCATCTTTTAAGCTAAAATTCAATTACTTTGCGATGATTTGGACAATTACAATTAATGATTTGGATTTTTTTTCATGAGCAAAAACGTTACTCTGCTGAAAACTAATTTTTGGTGCATATTTTAAATGTATTGACAATTTAAGCAAAAGTTTTCGGATAAAGAGAGGTGCAATCTTTTAACCGCGAAAGTTTTCTTTATGTATTGTCGAAATTGTTGAGGAAAATTCAGTTGTTTTTCTATTTAGAATGTGATCTCCTGTAATGAAATAAGTCATGAGTGCTAAATTCTCTAGAACGTTCATAATCCAAAACAATGGCTTTTGTCCATTGATTTGTCAAACATTAGTATTTTCCATTGCATTGGAAGCATTCATTTTTCCTTGTCCATATTACGTATTATTATGAAGGCTAATTTTGGAGAAGATTCATCAAAGAATTCGGACGAAACTTACGTGGAGATCTAAAGACGGTCCTGTTACATTTCAAGCCCGGTCACATTTGGCAGGTTTTTTGGGAGATTTGGACGGAAGGCAACGAAAAAGCACTTTTTGCACGACATAGCGAACAACAATTATTAACCGCAATCTCAAATTCTTCTGGGCATGCCCAGACGCACTTAGTGATGCGAAACTAACTGCGCATGCGCAGTGCGTCGATTGCTGAAACGCATCGCTGTGCAAAAACTCCCTAATGAAAGTCATTGATTAGCGACAATCTCTTATGCCATGCGAAAAATGTTACAAACGTTCCTTAGTTCATTGAAAGAACGGTGGTCAGAATGATTGGACATGAAGTCCAATCAAATCTGATGAAGTTTATGAAATCTATTAACCGAAATCAAAAGAGTTGATTGTATTTGGAAGGAAAATACTCCAAAATTTAAAAAAAAAATCCACCTCTTTGTAAGACAATTAAGATGCTGCTACAGATTGAATGAAGGTTGAAACACGAAGTGGGTGTTTGCCATAGTTTAGCGTTAGGTATTTCTTCCGAAAAGTTTGAGAAAATTGTAAACAACAAAAACATTGACAACTACAACGATTTGCTGAACTAGGTGCTGAAAGCATTAGGCATTTTATGCTTGAATACGTCCCTTGAAGATCCATTTCCTTTCCTCTCATTAGGATTTCTTTCCAAAAACCTTGGAGCTGCATGTAACAAAACTGAATGTTTGCATCTGCATATATCAACCAAAGAGAAATGATGAAATCTTACATGCTCTATGTTTCAAGCATAGAAAAAGTATCATGGACAGTAGGGCTAAAGTATATTGTCAGATAAGTGTTAGACACTGAAAGGGTAAGAAACCCAGGCAAGATACTAACGAAAATTCTTAGCTGAATCGCTTCAGGTATACTTAAATGAACATTGTTGAACATTTATTTCCATAATGTAATTTCTATGAACGTAAAATATTTATCTCACTGCCTCCGAAAAACTTAGAGAAAATCGTTTTGAGCACTGCATTTCCTATAATCCAACTAAGTTTTTTTAACAGAAAAAATGTTTCATTCTGCAGACCAGAGTGATATTCTAAACATTAGTTGAAGCAAATTACCACTGTAGAACGTGGTATAAATTTAAATCGAAAAGTTAAGAGCTAGATGCGCGAGAATACTAATACACAAGAAAAAAATAAAGTTAAAAAAATTAAAAATTGGGGGAACTTCGAGCTTAGGGGAAATAACGGCAACATCAGTGCAAAGTCAGCCAGCAATAACTTACTAATAAAATTATACACTTGGAAATGTCTTAATTTGATGTAATTGACGGAATGAAATGATTATTACAGAACTTAGGCGTTACCTAATGGAGACTCATTCGTATTTTCATTCGGCATAACCAGTCGTTCTTTAAAATGTATGGAAAATTGAGTACACTGTTCAATAATACAAGCATTTACATTAAACGACTTATCTACGATGGCAACTAATACTGATACCTATTCTGAACTCAAGAATAAAAAGCAAAAAACGGATTTGCAAGCAGAAAAGTAAATAATATTTTCAGAACAGATACAATACACATACTTTACTCACGTAATTTAAATTAGATTTTCTGTCAGAAAAATTTCTTCATAACAAAAAACAAAAAAAAAGTGGCTTGTGGGTGATAAATAGAAGACTTCTACTGAATGAATACTGAAACAGACTAATATGTTAACATAATTCAGAGTACGACTCGGGCATTGGTGTGATGTGGTGTGGGTGTGAAGGGAAGGAAACTATTGGGTTCATTATGCAAAGACGTAGATTTTCATACCCCTTTCAAAATGAGATTTCAGAAGTTTTAGAACTAAAATATAAATATTTTATTTAAAATTACCAATAATGTGCAAGGTTTGATTATCCAAAAATATCGAAACTATAGTTTAACTACGAAGCTCTCACAAGGAATCTTAATATTGTTAAATTGTGCGTTAATTAAAATTGTTTTCAAAATTACACTTTTCTAAGAAGAACGACTAAGTCTTTAGCCCGCTGCAGAACAAGGAAAAAACATCAACCAAAACTGGGGGAAGTATCATTTAAAATTTTAGAAAACGGAAGTCAAATTTGATAAAATACAGAGGCCAAGATCAACAGGATGTCAATTAAATTGTGCCTATCGCTCCATTGGGGAGCAATGGTGCAAGTACAAAGCTACACACTCTACAACCAAGGTTTTATTAACATTAATGATAAGAAACAAATATTTAATATTTAAATCGAAAATTAAAGTGTTGGAAGACAAAATAGAGAAAATCTGCCATCGGCTCTTCGTCAGATGCAATGGGTATGACTTTACCCGTATCAGTTCACACTGCTACCAAATTTTCGAAACACATCCCATGTGAACTACTGCGCAAGCTTTGTTGATTTTTATTTTATTTAATAGTTGGAAGTCACGTTCTAAAATTGTTTCACGGCGAGCACTTACTTTTGCAGTAATGACTTCGCTGTCGATTTTAGGCAAACGAGGTAAATTATAGATTATGGTGAATACGAATATTGCCCAGCTGAAATATTGTCAGTAATGTTGATGCTGATCTTTCTGCTTCCCAGACGCTGTCCAACTCAGACTGTAAAGGGGCAGAAAATGGTTCGGGAAGGAAACGGGAAAACGAAGGCTCCTGAACGCCTTGCCACAAAGAACAAATAATAATGTCGTGACTTTTACACTACACGATGTGCAACAACAAAGGTAATATCTAATGTTGCTCATTCCCAATCACTGTACACATTACATACAAGAACACAATCGCTTCCAGAGCGGCTTTAAGTGTATGAAAAATAAACTAATAAATTGTCATTGAAAGTATGTGCGCTCGAACGGGACTTGTGAAATTTGAAATTTCACGGTCTACATGATATTTTTTTCTAAATCCAATAACAGACATAACCTGATAGTTGTGTGGTATGGTTTTGTGGTCTGATGTGTCAACGAAAATAATTTTTAAGAATTGAGTTGATCTAGATTTCCTTTCTGTGCAAATTCGCCTGCTTAGTTATACCCTTAACAGTTGGAGCCCCGTATTAAATAACCCGCTTAAATTTTGACATTATACCAGGAATGTAGTGAACTAAAGACGTAATAGTGAAGAAACTTACGTACTCTCCAGTTACCTACTCTCTGAGTTTTGATAATTAACCTTTACCTCCAGCAAAATTAATAGCAAATATAATATGGTGTAAATCAACATAAACTATCAGCTAGTAAATTAATACGTTTAATTACAAATCAAATTAACGATAACTGAATGATGGGTCATTTCATTTGCGTAACTCATTTAAATGTCTCAAGAATATCTTCGCTATGTCAAAGAAACTCACTTTTGTATAGTGGAAAACACTATGTTATATACAATACACTACCGACCAGTTTCTATGTTCCTCAGAAATAGTTTTTCCACATCTTTTGAACAATGATTTAAACATCTGATTTATGAAAAAAAAATTTGGGTATAATAAATGTGAGTTAAAATACAGGTTTTCTCAGATGGACGGGGAGTTTAAGAATATAGGGATATACCTTCTAGAAAAAATGGGCGAAAATATTTACAACTGGATGAAAAATACTACGCCAAATTGTAGCTTGTAACCAAAAAATTGTGGCTCAAACAATTGAAAAGTGTAGAGAGAAAAAAAAAAAAAAACGTTCAACAGAATTCTACTTCATTCTCAACCAAATGAAGTTTAATTTGCAACAAGACCAACATTCAACATATCATGCCAACATACATGCCTTTTTTTCATCGTGATGTTTAATTCAATGCATGCATGACCAACATACATGCCTTTTTTTCATCGTGATGTTTAATTCAAGGATGTTGTTAGATTCTTCATCGTACTGCAAGGGTGTTGTTAGAATATTCTGTAAGATATGTCAGAGTATTCTGTTCGGTACGTAAGACTATTTCAAGTATTCGTGGATTATTTTAGAATTGTTCTGTAGCATCATTACATTGATTTTCGTTCACAACTTTTAGTGCAGACTGATTCTGTGTTTATTATGTTTTCGACAGCATTTTAAGAAAATTGGTTTACAAAAGTGATATATAGAAATTAGTTACAACTAATACAACGCCCCAACTCGAAACTCAAAGAGCAACAATAACACATACTTTCTCGTATTAATTCTGTTCTTGTAATTTAATTTTTTTTATAAACTACATTAATTTTATGTCCAAATTACGAGAACTATTCGTTTTTTTTAAAAAAATAAAACAAGGTCTTTGTTAATGAGCTAATGTGTTTTATAACAGACTTTGTCTAAGGCAAAAAGGCTGTATTTTCCTTTTTTTTTATATTACCGTTTTCCAATTTTTGAAAATACAGACTAGTCGTCAAAAATGGAACAATCACCATATTTTTTTACCGTTCCTAGATGTAAACGAGGGGGGAAATGGTGCAGTTCTAGAAAATAAATGTTTAAAAAATGAAAAATTGCCAATAATTCGTGAAAATACGCGAAAACTACTCATATGTTTGGAAAAATTGTACTGGTCTTAATTCAAGATGACTAAGAAACAGATTTCATTGAGAGGAAAAGAAATGACTCTATTCAATATTATAATTGTAGGAAGACGCCTCCGCAAAAAATGCACTTCTGCAATTTTCCAAAAATCTGCGATTGTAGCAACATTAGACCATTTCTCTTAAGCGTACTTTACGCTATGCGGGGACAATTTTTTTTAATTGTACCATTTTTTAGAAAATTTTGAAAAGGGTTTTGAGACTTCGTGTAAAGTATCCCCCAAAATCAAAATACCCAATTGAAACTCCCCAAAGGTCGACTTCTTTCAGACAGATCGAAGAATATCAATTTTGGAGAACATTGGAAGATCGGTTTTGACACTAGCGTGGACCACAGTCGGTCAGACGTATTACCGCTAATCGATTTTCGGTATGAAGGAGCCACAAAACATGGATAATAGGTACACCATATGTTAGAGGAAGTAATTTACGCCATATAGCAACATGATTTACCCCCTCCTCGCCACCAAGCCCCGGCAAGAGAGAAATTTTTGGCCAAAAATTCGCCGTTTTCTGGCGCACCATTACATAACATTCTGTTCTTACGACGTAATTGCGAGAAAGTAAAAATTTCATCATGCTTTCAGAACACACAACTCGCACTCATTCATGTCCGTTCTTAATTTAGAATACAGTCATCCAACCCTTTATCTCTCTTGAAGCAACAGAATTAAATCGAAGGTACAACACTTTGAAACGTACAATTTTCTTCTCTCCAGCAACTCTTTTATAAAACCTAATTTTGGTAAGAAAAAAAAGAGACAGAAAAAATTATATTTCTCATTAATCTACGCACGACAATTTTTCGAATCAATTTTTATACCATTCAAACGAAACTCTGAAATGGAGCAACCCACGTACAAGTCCGTAAATTAGGCTCGTAATTTTATTGTTCGGATACCTTGTGGTAACAACAGGGGCTAGACTACTACATAGTAGGTAGAAGATAAAAATAACCTCCCTTTATACGAATAAAAACTCACTCGCAATTTGAAAATGTATATTAAGTAAGCTTTTTTGTTTTTGGTAAAAAAAAGTGTAATTAGAATATCAAGATGAACACAGTTTCCAATAAATTCGATATTTTACTGAACATTTGACGAGAATATTACATGTGACTGGAGACAAAGAACTGGAAATGTATGTGTGAGTAGACACAGACTATTACGACGATTCTAAATCATTCCAGCCTCTCACATGTTCACATGTCTTCTTATGTACATTAGAAACATTCATTACGTAACTTTACAGTGTAAGATCAATTGTTTACAATCGCTTGTTTACAACAGAACGTTAAATTTATATCTCAACTCATCAGATCAGTTAAGTTTATGCCTTATTTTACGTGGCGAGATTCGGACCAGCCTGCTCATCAGTCTGACCACGCACACGCTACGCTCCTTTCACCATCTGGCGGAGAAAGAAGGTATCACTCGGGCAACGAAACACGCCATTTGAATTTAGCTCAGAAGCTTCTTTCACGCTCGATCTTTTACACGCAGTGAATCTACAACAGGGGACAGTCGGTTTTGCTTCCCCTCCGAAGGATTTTTTTGAAGTGATTCGTGACAGGCGGAATCGCGGACCGTCCGCGGCGAACACGACGCCCGAAGACGACGCAACCGGGGCTCCACGTGGCTGTGCACTCACGAACGCGCTCTCTGTCCCCGCAGCGACCCGGGCAGCCCGGAGGTCAGCGACTTCGACCTGTCGTCTCGCTTCGGCGGCGGCGACTTCGACCACCGGCGGCCGCCCGTCATCGTCACCAACACCATCGGCGGGGGCGGCGCGGACGACCCGCGCTGGCGGCCCGTCGGCCGCCCCGAGTCCACAACCCCGCAGCCCGACGCGCGCCGCCCACCACAGCCCCAGCCGCAACCCCAGCCGCAGCCGCAGCCCCTGCCGCCCTTCAACTTCAACTGGCTGTGGCGGCCCAACCTGTACGCCGGCCGCACGCCGGCAGCCACGCTGCCGCAGGCCTACACGCCCACGCACACGTACAACGCGCAGAACGGCGCCGGCGGCGGGCCGCAGCTCTTCCTCGTGCCGCTGTACGTGCCCATCCGCTAACACGCCCGCTCTCCACGCGGCCCAAACAGCAAGCCACTCCACGCGACGACTCACGTGGGGGTTTCGATTGTTCGAGTGTACGCTTCCGAGCCCACGAGGCAATTCATTTCGAGAGATCTCGTACTTCAGACTACGAATGTAGATTGCCCATTAGATGTCTTCAAAAGTGGTTCTGTTATGAGAAGCCGATTCTTGAGTGACTCTTCACCAGAAAATATTGCATTTAATGTGACACGTTTCACAGATGTGTGCATGATGTAATCAAATGGAGTATTGTCAGAAAACACTACCAGCCAAAAGTAACATTTAATGAAACAAAAAGCGAGCCAGATCTTTTTGCAAAGAGTATATACAAAAAATATATTGGTAAGTTTACAAGCTCTACTGATACAACATTCAAATCACCGGTGACGTGAAAACTAACATTTCCAATAAGTATATTGCAGTTGTTATATCCGTTCAAAGGATTTACAAAGACTGCAATATCGACAAATTAATCCGTAACCTTTATAATAAACATTTTCCGATTATTAATCATCAATACGGTATGTAAAAAATGTACTGAGGAATCAATAATTTAGGAGAGCTGAAATTCATTATAGCCCAACCATTTAGATAATAATATACGCCTCTTTCACAATTATAAAAAAGTTATTTTTTATTACAAAGTCAAACACATTAAAATTGATGTACTACAACTTAGCTGACATTTACTATATGAGAACTCTGAACAATCAAATAATAGTGCGGGAAGTTCAGATACATATCGGATTGGATGAGTTGTGAGCTGCAACGATACGACATAATTAACTTTAACACATCTGTGACCAAATGTTTCTTGTCGTGTTCATTTAATGACATTGCTTGAGTGCACTAATGAACTTTCACAGACTGCAATATTCGTCGATCGAGCTAGAAACAAATACTATTTTTTGTCCATGTCATCGAACGGTAAAAAAATTACGACACATATGTCGAGTAAATGAGTAGGTTACCTGGAATGAGAATTCCTCGACTATAATTATTTCCATGGATAAACATACAAACTTATTAGATTAAATTAAATTTCAAGCGTATCTTTCGTACCTTGAATGCACTGTGCACACGAAGAATAATGGGACTTCTCCTGACATACAAACAAGATTCTTTAGACACCAAGAGTTTCACAAATCAATCCAATTTGATTATTCAAGACGTCGTGTGTGTCTTCCACAAAGGATTATGCAAAGGTCAACAATGATTGTGAACTCGCTGTGTCTAAAAGAAGCTGTTAAGAAAGCGAATGTTTCTTACGGAATTCTGACGGCATATTATGGTAATTTATTTTCCGTTAATTAGCCTCAGTTTCAACAAACACTGCCTCTACTGTTCTACTGTACCTGCTTGTGAATAAAATACAATAGAAAATTGCCATTACTTCCCTCAAAATATGTGAAACTTTTCCCCTACATTCCGACAGGTCCTATCTTTTAAACTTATATTTTCCTAAGTATTAAACGCTTAATACAAGCGTATGTAGCAATATATTGCTAATTGAAAGCAGCAGTGTTTTCATAGCCATAGTGTAATTGAAAGACCGCAAGCTATGTAACAAACATCCACACCAAGCTTTCGGTTTATTTAAATCTTTCATTTAGAGATGAGTTAAAAAAAAGTGTGCACATGAAATTAAATAGTATTTCTGGCGTATATCAGAGTCGAAAAACGCAAAGGTCACATATTCCACTTTTTCTGATTCGAACACAGTAATGATATGGTCAGAGCATCAGAAAATATTACTAATAAATAAATGCTGGCCACTATCACGATCTGGCCGAAATTCGTACGTTCATTATGATATTAGACATTATGTCTAAAAATAGTATTACAATAAAACTTTGTTGAGCTTTTGGAAGTTAATTAACACACTCACTACCCAATTAGCAGTCAGTTGCGAGAGAGACTAGTTTATTCTTTGTCTATCAAATGAATGATTTTCTTTTAGGGATGGAGGATATAGTTTTCCAAAGGAAACAAGATGATCAACATTTGAATTTTAAAAAAAAATCATTTTTCGTCGAGCTAAATCTTTTATTCTAGGTGCATTTTCTGGGCTATTAAATTTCTAACATATCACTTGACAAACGAATTTTTCTTAAATTCGTTTTTATTTTAAAGATGTTGGTTCCTTCCACCAACCGTAAAACAGTAGTTTATTTACTAAATTATAGAATCCTTCATATTCTCACTCCATTGAACATCAGCTCTATTTTCTCAATTTAATTATAATTTCAATGAGTGGAATGCTTAAGGTGTGCATTTCACAAGGAATTTAAGAACACTGAAAAACATATACCTCAAACCACTTGCAAGTCTCTTTTGAAATCGAATAAGTTCTAAGTGAAGCATACAATACCCACAACAACAATTAAACATCACGTGCACATATCGGTAATAATTATTGATTACCAACGCATCATTTGAACATCAGACAATGAATACGAAAGAATACGTTAAAGTAAATTGAGACCGCATTCTAAGAGAACGCAGAGCTCCTTCGAAAGAGAGATACATCTATTCACTGATTATGTTGACTAAAACGTATGCTCATTTTACTACACTGAACGCGCATTTTTTTTTTTTTATCATTTAAAATCAACTCTAAAGAAAAATAAAGATTGAATATGACATCGTTCAGCCACACATTTTATTAACTACTTTCCCTAATTGCAGTCACAAGGGAAGTGTACCAGACGCACTTCATCCTTCGTATCGTTTCGCTAAATAAACGACACAATTGCCGTACAAATGGCATGCCAAGACGCAACACGTGAGCGACCAAACCGGCGCGACCCTGTGCGTAGCGTGATGGGCCAACGCGGCGCTTTTCCTCGTTTAGCGCGACTCCGTCATCGCGTGGCAGGTGGGAAAAACCGGCGGCGGCGGCGGTGGCTAGTTCCACCAACGAGAATCTCTGGCTGGCGTACGATTTGCTCACTCGTCGGTCGTCGCCGGAGCTCTTCGCTAAGCTTCGATTCCACTTGCCCCCTCCCTCAGCTCGCTAAAACGAAAACTATAGATTTAGATCAGATTTATTCAGCGAAAAAAACAGCGAAAACTGTATGTGACTTATGGAGGAGAAGATTATCTGCGCACGTTTTCTTGAATTCCAGAATCTCTTCCAGTCATTTTAACTATAAATAGTTGAAAGATGAGTAAAAGGTTAACATCAATAAATAAAAATAAATTTTAAAAATCACAAGATTAGCAATATTTTAAAAATAGTCATTTTCGTTTCCGAGTTATAGAAAACATTTCCATCGGTACACGAATTGCAAGTATGATTTTTCTGCATTGCTAACAAAATAGGAACTCGCCCTTACCTCTACTCTAACAATTACAAGTAAAAGGAGAGTTCAACCAAACGTGCGCAGTGAAGCTACATTTACCAGTCCCTGCACGGACCCTACATAACATAATATCCCCTGTAACCTACCCTATAATCCTGAAACATCCGTCGTATCCCCTCTTCCATCACTGAACTGACGATGATAACAGCAACAAAATTAAGTTCTCTAGTAAAGTAATAAGATAATATATTCTGTATACAACGCGCAAAGTTGACAGCTTTTACAATTTATAAGATGCCGTGGAAACAAACATGCATCTGCTAGGTAGTGAATTATCTCCCAGGGTTTCATCGAACTGATTTAAAGCGTGAAGTGTAGAACTTTTGTAGTTTATGACGCGAATAATTCGGCTGGTGCTCACGCCACTCGCAATACACGTCATTGTTGTAGGTAACTTGAAAACTGTGCGTCTCACGCCCTTTAAATACTCTTTCCATGTCTCTCAAATGGTCGTTCTAGTCTTCTTTTGGAGGTTGAGTCCCTCTGGGTACCTTTTCTCCACAGCACCGGTGTCGAGACAATATCGACATATGGTAAAGTCAAATAGACTACTTGATATTAGGAGAAATTTAATCGCACGGATCTAACAAGAAGCCTTTCTGCTAATAAGAGGTCAGCAATATTAGAAAGATTACATTACGCAGTGCCCCGCATATGACGTGATGCCCAATTCAGAGTCAGGTTTGAAGAGTTAGTATCCCGTGTACGGTGTCTTGTTTTATTTTTTATTTTCTTCATTTAAAAAAAAACAACAAATGTCAGACTGCTGGCACGAGTACATCTGGTAATTTTACAACGCATCGTCTGAACAAGGCGAATATATACATATACGACCTAGGATTCGAATTCTCAATTTTCGATGTAGCGCGATCTACTGCTTCAATTATCTGTGTTTGTCAACAATGACGTAAGTCATGATTCAATGAAGTGTTCGAAAGCTTGTTCTTCACAAACGGGTATAAATAAATTTTAGAACGAAATAACTGCGTAACATGAACATATTTTCGAAGAGACGACTACTAAGTTCGTGTGGTTCCCCTTCACATAAATCATTAACACGTATCCCACCTGTATTTCACAGAACACTTAAACACGCTTAAGTCTGCATTAACTGCAAATGATCAAGGGCAGCAGAGACCAGTTTAAAAACTCATTGTAGCCACCCTATGAGCAACTGTAATTGGACGATGTATGTCTAGGAAGTCATTTATCGGTGTACCACTATAGGCTTTACCGTCATCCTAGTCTACAAGATGTGGTGGAAATACAGGTAGAAAATAATTATAAATATGATGTAGTTCGTCAATAACCAATCGGTTCGTCAATAACCAATGCAACTGACTCATAGGAGAGCCAAATGAAGCGGCGGGGAGCGAAATACCTTCGAATTGGTTCTAAATCATTTATTGAACATTCAATAGAAGGATAAAAAGATAACACAACAAGCTTCCGTGTCAGCAACGACGTTAACATTTATTTTCGATACACCATAGAATGTTCACCGTCATATTCAATTACGACCATCGGCTCTTCATCAGCGTTACCAAGCGCACATCGTAAGCCTTCAACCAATGTAAATAACCCAACCAATCAAATAATGGCTGATTAGTTTTATTGCACGTCCGCCAGTGACTTCACCTTCTCAATACTAAGCGTGAGCGGGAACATGACGTACAGCAGAAAACACTCCCAACTCAGAAGTCAATAACGTTTGGTTTTTTTTACAGAGGAAGCGATTTAATAGTGCGATAAACCGCCCACTCGTCCGTGAAGTGACATCCGCCGCGTCGGCGACAGGAAGCCGCCTCCGCCGCCCCCATCCACACCTGTACGCAAGGCGGAAGCTCTGAAAGGGAGGTGGAAGAACTTCCCTATCGAGGCAACAGACGTTCTTATATTAATCTAAACTACTCCAAGCAACTTGGCATTGTGACAATCGTTTAAACTTCTTACGCACATATGTATCATCAAGTCATGTGTTTTCAAATTGCGTCGCGGCTCCCAGGGGCGTGGCGGCGTATGGTAGGGGCCGCGCGATTATTTACTGAAAATGACCTTTAGATTTGATTCACTTTAATCCTTCTGTCATTTATGTATTTTGTACTATCATACTAAATGTTATTTGTAATGTATGATTTTACTAATTAATTGGGGATTAATTTAAGCTGGCAAGTCCTTTTCCAGTAACCTATTACATCACTCATTTGTGTTGAATATTTATTACGCCAATATTAACTCTTATGTTTGAAATGTATTGTAACGAGGGGAGTTGCGGGAAGTTTTGTTTAGGTAAAGGGAGCCGTGGACGAAAAGTTTTAAACCCCCTGCCTAAGTGGATTTCACCGTTCTGTTCGCGCGAACAGGATAATTAAAACATATTTTAGAAGAGAATCAAATGGCAATGTTATTTACGCTCAATTGCGACACGAATCATTGCCAATCTACTTTTACTCGTAAAGGCTGTTTCCACAGTCCGGCAGAAAGCAAACTCTTCCATTGACAGGTCTGATTGGTGCGGTGAGAGTATAATGAAGGCCTACATTCGGGATATCACGCGCCCATTTTACTCGTACGGGTAAACGCTAGCTTCAATGTTAGCAATCCGAATGGATGTAAATAGCATTTAAGAAACTCGTCTCTTCCTGATTGTCCACGATAACATACTCGCGTTGGATGTATTCGGGACGTGTGCGCATAAACCTGAACTCGTTAAAAATTACGAGATGGTTGTAGTCCGGAGAAAAAGCAACATCTATCTATGAATAAACTTTATGTACTTTTTATATTGAAGATATTGTATATAAATATTTTCAAATTTTATTACATCAACATAGTTCTTTGCACAAAAAGAAGACATTTTCGGTGTCTTAGAGCTTAATAATATCCTATACAAGTGATCACTTGTGTGCACTTGTCTAAACAAATTAATAATAGTAATAATAACAATATTAATAGTCAATAATAATAATAAGATAGAAGACCGCGGGTTCGAGTTCCGTCTTGGGTATTGGTGTATTTGTGTGTCTATGTGGGTGCCGTCCTTTCATCCCTCGCCATTATCATCTCATCGTCCACACTCCCAGGACTAAAAATCTTGTGGGATAAAAATCGAGATTCAGCTAAAATGCTGATCACCCCCCCACCCACCGAAAGATACTTACACCTGCCGAAGCAATGCACACACGTGGTCCGTGTTGGCCTATACACAAAATAATAATAATAATAATAATAATAATAATAATAATAATGATAATAATAATGATAATAATAATGATAATAATAATGATAATAATAATAATAATAATAATAATAATAATAATAATAATAATAATAATAATAAACCCAGTCAAGCAAGTTAAGGTATGCAAGTGAGGAGGCGTTCAAATACCTAGGTCTCCCGCAGACTGCGGATAACTGCCATCAAGTTAAAACTTCCTGCCTCGTCGGCACACAAGCGTCGTGCAGAACCACGCTCCACGATAGAAATCTTATTCAGGCTAGCAACACCTGGGTAGAACTGGCGATGAGGTGCAGTGAATTGGATAATGTGGATCGCCAAACCAGAAAACTGCTGATTGCGCTCTTCACCCGCACAACGAAGTTGACACACGTTCCGCATATCAGGAGGTCCTGGACATCAATAGATACACGAACCGATTCAAACAAAGTTGACACTTGCAGAATCGAAAGTTGGGGGCCATGGCTAGTCGTCATACGCAAAGAGAGTATCCTCCAGCTGGGATGCGCCTGCTTAAGCAGTAGAACGAGGGAACAGGAACGTTGGTAAGATAAACGGTGGACGGCACTTTCACGTTGGGCTGGCTGCGAGGAGGCTCCCTCAACAAAGATACCGAAGCTCTTGTTCTTCAGCCAAAGTATTACGGTTGTCCCAGCGACTCTGACTGGAAGGTCATAGGGTTCGGGCCCCCTGTCGGATTTTCAACACTAGCTGCACAGCTAGATCGAATTCAGGACGAGAATTCTAGCGGCAGGCTGTTCTGACAGGTATGTTTTCCATGGTTTCCCCGAGCAGTACTCTAACAAATCGGCAACCAACCGCACGCGATCTTTCGTTCCTTGTTCTGTCCTCACACCATATACACACAACCACACATACTTTCATGCACTACAAGTCGGGAGCTTAGACCTTATCCCGGTTGGGGCGGTGAGAGGAGATACCTGGAGGAGGAAACCCTCGCAGTCAGGGACGGATCTCCCCTCCCCCAGCGCAGAAGGAACCCCGCCACCTCCCAAGATAAAACATTTTTTACACTAGCATAATTAGCAGTTGACGTGCGCGGAAACATCAATCCCATCAAGAATAGACATTTGGGGCTACGGCCATCCAAAGGCGCCAAACTGAGAAGAATCCCACTTCCCGGCCTTTCTTTGCACCCGCTTGCTGACGCGCTGACTCAGCTGGACGTCCCTGCGCCAACGCACGAAGGCAACTCAACTCTACACGAAGCATCCGCGCAAAATAAACGAGCGCAAGTAGCGTCATTAGGACGCCAGCGACGAGACGTCATACGCTTTCGCTCCAGCCCCGACGAGATTTACAAATCGCACCACGAGCGAACTACTAGGCAAGGGTTTAAAGCCAGTACATGAATAATGACTGATTTTGGGTGGGAGATATCTACCGTATGATAAGTGTTCACCCTCATCCACACAGTTTTCAAAATGCTCACAAATAATTCTACCATTCCACTATGAATACATTCGTTTTTCACACTTACGTACACAGAACGAAAGAAATTGTTTATTGAATCAATCACCTTGGCGTTAAATGAATAGTGTAAACCATTATAATTATTTTAACAAATTCGTTATTTAAAGTATGCCACATACAATAATAATAATATTAATATTATTATTATTATTATTACTATCATTAAAGAAGAAGAAGATGAAGAAAGGAAATACCGAGCTTATAGTATTCAATGTCACTCTCTTTAAGCAAATTGAAAAACCTCCTATAAAAGTTCCTAAGGTAGTTTCTTGAGTGCATATTTTCATTCTTCTACTTCTGTATTTTTTTAACCTCCAGATGTAACAAAGAGAAACAAGTTTCATCACTCAATAGCTTTTAGAAGTTCGAAATTCTTAGTCACAAACCTTCCTATAAATAAATTGGACGAAAAAGTCGACTGAAAATAAAACCAAGTGCACTCGAATTGTTGAGCGATTAATTAAAGTTGACACTATTAGTACGTATGATAATGCAATACTTGAATCAAATTCGTTATTTAAACTAAGCACCTAAATTACTATGATTTTTAAACAGGAATCTACAATGAGTAAATTAACGGCCCTTTACTACCTCAAACACTTCAATCATACGACATTAATTCAAATATACAGAGAAAATATTAAAAATACAGCAAAATATCATATTGCTTATTTACAATCAATTTCTTCTATTCCGGAAAATATTTATAGAATGACAGAATTTTTCTTTTTTAGAAAATCTCGCTTTAGAATTTTTGGAAAATTGACACGATATGTCTCAAACATACACAAAAACTATATTATTGTAATGCTGCAGCACGAAGTGGCAATTTTTCGACAGAAAAAAACTGTTTGTGGATTTTTCTGTTGAACAATTGCCACGCAGCACTGCACATCACAATACATTCTTTACACTGCAAAAGTTGTACACGAGAAAGAAAAAAAAATAATTTGAATTTTATTTAGTGCAAGTAACTATGTACGTTAATGCTCTTATTTACGCCCAAAATAATGACTTTTAGATTGTGAAAACTTGTAAATTGCGAGAATTAATCTGCGAAAATTATTCAAGAGTGAAATGTGATCAATTTTTTCGGTTTCTTTCGATGCGTACGTCGTCACAGTTTCCGTTTTCATTGACAAATGCTAAGTCACCCGTATTGTTACGTATACATACATAACGCTATTCTTATTTATTGTTTTATTATTGTCCTCACTTTCATTTATTTATACAGGCAAAGTTATCTCGGAGGATAACGGCGAATCCGCGAATCCGCCCGCTAGCACTTTGAAAGAGAACGTTCACTTCCTCGTCTCCCGAGGGGCACCCAAAGGGCATTCACACCAGCGCAGCCGCCGGGAGTCTCGGTCCCAGCGGCTTCCGTAGAGGTGCAGCGCGGACGGGGATTGGGCAAGAGGCGACTGGTGGAGTACTCAACTCGACAAGATCGATGGGGATATTGTGTGAAGACGAGGCGGCAACAAGTGGTGGGGGGTAGATATCGTCCGCGCACAAGAGTGACGAATCTAAAAAGATGTCGTTTTGCAGGAGAACGGTTTTAATCTTTGCAGAGATTTATTTAGCTATCGGAGACAGTATTTTACTCTATTTATTATTTGGCATATTATATGACATTTTACTATCAAAAGTATTTTCTCAACTTCTTTTATTCCCTAATTCTGTGATGATTAATTTTGGTACGAGGGTCATTCTAAAATAATGCCGTTTTGATAAGTGACAAGGGTGATGACGGATGACTGATGTATTAAAAAGGGTCAGTTGAATATCCAAACACTACGAATTCGAAACTTTGAATATATTATTTCAACCTGAATATAGTAATTTTTTATAGTTCACTATATGCAGTATTTTATTAATACTTTTGCATGTGTATTTCCAGTGGCCGTGATTTCTTGGCCGTTGCTTCTAGTATCAGCACACAAAATAATTTTGTAGTCTTCATACCTTTGAATGTCTCTTGTCCTGCTCGAACACTTTGTTCATTTTGTATCCTCTTTGTCGTCATACTCGTTTTCTTTTGTTCTAAAAGACCCTTTCGCGGCTTTAACTATTCCGTACCCAGACGGGATTTCACTAGTTTTCATCTTGGGAGTCCGGGAGTCCTTTTCGTTCGGAAAACTCTTACCATACGAGTTGAAACAATTTCCTCAGTGGTATAATCCATCAGTCCCTTTCATTCCCCGTGAATTCTACATAAATACTTGGTTTTATTGGAATTCTCACTCCTGAAGCGAAGTAATTTTCCCCCTGGAAGTTGTATTTCTGTGCTCATTAAGACTGATATGGAGAGTTCGAACTGAGAGAACTGAACCGAGAGAGAATCAAATCACCTAATGTTTATTTGAAATGTATTGTAATCAGGACCAGTGAATGGGTTCACAAAGACAAAGTTCATTGTCCAGAGCTTACTGTACTCTCATGACGCCAGCCCGTTTTTTGCTTTGCTGCCCTCATTAGTATGTGCGATCAGATTGTAAATTACCAGATCTTATGAGAATGACATTCTTTGACACGAAAAGAAAAAGCCAACTGTTTTAAAGTGTGAAAAGGAATGTCTTGATAGTGGGACACGATATTTCAAAATTTACAATCTGATTCTGCAAACTACTGCATACTCTGTAATTACTTTACTGATGACAATCTGACAGCTTCATAGCTAATCAACAATATATTCTACATTAGCTCATACACTACGTTTATTTTTCTCGAGTCTTATCCTCTCGCAAGATCGGGGGGCATTTCACCGTGAATGGCAACCGTGTGGTAATTTGGACAGTAGAGAAAGCGTTTAGGAAAACTGAAGTAATGTCAAGGAAACCAAGCATACTAAGCAACATTTCAGACTTCCCGATTGCTTCTTCCAAGAAAGCTCACTCGACGGTAATAATAATAATAATAATAATAATAACAATAATAATAATAATAACAATAATAATAATAATAATAATAATAATAATAATAATAATATAGCGAAGGCGCTCAGGGCGTGGTGCGCTGACTTCGCAGTCGGTTCAATCCCCGGGCTGGCCATCCTGACCGGGATTTTCGTGGTTTCCCTTGGTCATAAATGAGAATGTTGGGACGGTTCCAAAAGGCCACGATCACCTTTCACCATCATCATCCTATCACCCCATTATTTATAATTTAAAGATTAACAAACTTCTCTCACCAAGGGGCACAGCTGAAAAACTGATCCAATAATGACACATATTAATCTCTCTCCGCGATAGAATATGACTCGGTCTTGAAAGAGAACGGGTAGCGTGGTCATTAATGGCCGATACGCAAATAATAATAATAATAATAATAATAATAATAATAATAATAATAATAATAATAATAATAATACGAAGAAGTATATTGATAATATATCAATTGTACAAACAGCAACAGGTCTTTTAAAATGGAAAGAATTATTCCAAATTCTCTTTTCCTCACAAAATTATTCCAAAAGCTTAAAAGTCATTCTTGAAACGTTCCGGAATGATTGCACGGTCCTAAAAGCTACGAAGGTGGGGTGCCGAAATGCCCCTCAAACCTGAAGCCTTTGGTGAGAAAAAACGGAGTAAAAATAACAATGATAATATATTAAAAAAATGATTTTTTTATGTATGATCGTGCGTTCACCAACGAATCTAGGTATGCAAATTAGCATGAATTTAGCTTAATTGCAATATGATAGTGGTAAATACAATCAAGAACTGAATATGCAGAAGAATAAAATGTCAAAGGAAACAATGCCAAAGCCATTGTAAGTAACAACTCTTGCCATTTATAATAACCCCGTAACACTACCAACAAATGCGTCTGGACTTGGGTTTACATTAATGTTATAGAGCTTGATTTATTTCTTATTCTGGTCGAAACATAAATCTAACAGAAATGACAAATACATTCTTTTTTTATTTCAAGTTTCCAATTAACTTCAGTTCTTACGCTTCGACGAAACTATGTTTCTCTATTGTACACAAGAATCAACATCATGTTTTTAAGACCTATTTGAAAATTCCTAAGAATACAAAGCATCTTCGGAAAAAATGTCTGTGTGTGGCATCGAAAGAAACGCGAGGGATTACGCGAGGGATTACTTTCTGGAAATGATCTATCACTTTATATCTAACAAAACAATTTTATAGCGTATGTATCCTCTAGATATCACTAGTTAGTACATCACGATTTGGTACAAATAGTCATTATTTTTCCTAAGACATACGAAGTGCTAACGAATGAAACACTGGCAAGGTCCCTTCGAAATACATTGAGGTGGCAACCCTGCCCATTAGCGCTATCCGAGACTAGCTGCGTTCTCCAATGACGCCATTATCGACAACACATAATTTGAAGTCCATCAGAAAAACAAGTTCGCAGCGGGACGCGGACACCCCGCGGAAGGCAAGAAGGGAAACCACAGCGAGCCGACCTTCGTCTATTCTCCCGTAAAAATCGCAGGAGGCTGCGCGGCGGCGGCGGAGGATGACGTCAAAGCGGCGATCCGCGGGTGGGGCGTGTGGAGGCGGAGGAGGAGGAGGGGGGGGGGAGGCGAAGGTGCCACCGGACCGGGCGAGCGTCGAGGCTGTGGGGCTACGTAGGAGCCATCGACCAGGGTCCGGGCCGGCGGCGACGGCGACGGCGGAGGCGCCGGCAGAAGCAGAAGCAGAAGCAACAGCGGATCGCCGGGAAGTGGTCAGGGCAGGCGGCGCGCGGTTTTTCCCCGTTCCCCCACTGCGCCAGCAGGCTCGGCGCGACCGAGACTCGGGCCGCCTCCGCCTGCAGGAAACGGCGCTCGGGAACGTCGTCGTGAGCCGCTGCCACGCCGCCGCCGCCGCCGCTCGGGTTCGAAGGGAAAACCCTCGCGCGCCGCCAGTTGTGGAACGGACGCATCGCCGCGCGCACCGCACGGCCACCGCGCTCCTTCGTCACTCGCGTCGAGTGCCTTCTGCCGGCCACCGCCTGCCTCCACGGCGGCCTCCCCCTTTCGCGATGGCGGCCTTGCGCTTCCTCACAGGTGAGTGCCAAGCGGCGGCGCAGCGCCTGCAGGCAGGCGGTCCCTTCCGCCGACGGGCAGGGGGAAGCGTGCGGTCACCGTACACAGTTTGGTTCATCGGCCGCGCCTGCGTGTACTCGCGAAACAACGCATCACGTCGGTCGTGTCGTTAGCGATGGCGGTGGAAAGCGAAGAGCAGCGCGTGCGAAGCGCCGAAGGCCGTCCGGTGGCGGCGGCGGCGGCGGCGTCGCGGCTGCGCGCGCAGCGGAGGCCCCCAAGGCGGTGGAGCGTGGTCGCGCTACCCAGCCAGCCAACTCGCCGCGGCAGGCGCCTGCGCCTCTCTGCCTTGCCCCCTCGCCCCGCGCGTGGCGAAACCGACTTCCAGCAGATTGTCAGTTGATTTACGTTGCGATGGTGCTAGGTCTCTTAACGATTTTCTATTCACCACATTGAAAATGCTATTACTTGTACAATTTTCAAACTCGCTCCTCAATGTTAATATTAAATGAATCATTTATTTCAAAAAACCCGTCAAACGCCAAATTCCTCATTCCTCAAAAACCTCAGAAAAAGTCTCCCAATTTTTGTTTCCAAAATATTTGTATTTATTACAGCAGTCGGTAAATGAATATTTTTCACATAAATATTCACTAAACGATATTTCTATCCTCTGGGAACAACAACCCACTGCTAATGCGCGTTTTAGGTTTTGGCGTATGACTAGTTTCTGAAATAAACGATTCAATTAATTTGAGTAGAACCTCTCGTTAGTTGCTTGAAGGTTATAATTCTCCGCCTTAGAGTTCAATATCAAACTCCTTGGCAAAATCAAATAAATGTTGATGGACCTTCAATGTCATGTGAACCGGGTACTAAACTCTCAATTTTTGGGTCGAAATTAAAATTCCCATCAAAATAAAAATATTGCAATTAAAAATGTTCGGACTATTCAAATTCTTAGTTAAGTACATTACCACAAAATGCCTTATTTTTAATATTTCGCAATGGAAAACTATTTGGTCAATCAAAAATACTCGCTCCACACCGTCGGCGGTGGATAGGACTGCCCGAAAGACACCTCCCGCCCTCGCATTTGAAAGAGAATGACGCAGTTGGTGGTGGTAACTTCAAATTATTTGGCAGCTGTGTTATCATAAAATAAACCTACAAAACTATCTACAACGCAGAAAACAATTCACTGTTATTAACATTACAATTATAGGAGCATCTTCGTCCGTATTCATTCCCAATTAAAAAGAGAATATGATAAATTCTATACTAAGAGGTCGAGTAAGATTTAATATTTTGACAAAATCAGCAAAACCAAAACAATTTAATAAAACGTAACATATAATAAATTATAAAATGTATCGAAATCCATGAAGGTAAAAAGTGAAGCAAAGACTAACGCAAGTTGTAGTTTCATTCGTTGTCAGACTAATAAATGTGCACGGTGTATTATACCTAATGCGTTTCAGGGGGTGCAAAGATAACTTACAAGGTATATTGTAAATGGCAACTTCAAATTATAACTAGCGCACGTTCCCTCGTTCTCCACTCTAAAACTGTGACAGAATCGGGCATAACCGCACGCAGGTTGGTGAAGGGCACAAAATTAAACTAATCGAAGAAAGTGACGTCATCCACTTCACCTTTCAGGAAGTTTTACACGAGACGAAAATTCCACAAAAGTCGCAAGGTCCCACGCGTCGTATTTTATTTGAAGCAAAATATTCACTTCCAAAAGAAGATGTACGAAATGTATTTAGAAGTATTTTGGACAACTACCATACCGTATGATGTGACATCTCATACGAACTAAAACTGTTCAGTATTTGACAAGGGTAATTTCACAATTTTCCCTTTGACTACGTACGACTACTTTGAAATTTGAAACACTTTGAAATCAAGGAAGTCTACATACTAAACAACACTAATGATACGTAACCTTGGGGAAAAAATGCTTTCTCTGAGCAAAGAACCAATGGGGCACATTTTGTCCACTGCATCTTCTACTCCTTTCATTTGTGTACACATTCTTTATATGCGAGGTTTCCTCGACAGTTTTCTTTTCTTTATCATGCGTTACGGATACAGGAAAAACAATTTTGTTGGTTCTTGATTTCAAAAGGCTATTGTTACTTCTTGAGAAATATGTAAAATAATATTATACAAAATCCTTTGCCCGAAAGGAATAGATAAAGGCCTCTTCGAAAATAAGGTGGCTCTAGGTTCACATCAAATGAGCTAATTCTGATGATTACTATTCTCTTCTACCTGTCTGATTTTGCTATTTGTACAGCCGTTATAACAAGAATATTTTTCACATTTTCCACATGTACTTTTAATTTGCACAATAATATGGTCGACTAATACAAATTAAAGTATACTTTCGTCTTGTTTTCACCTCTAGTTATGCACTTTTTCACATGTTTTTCATACATTTCTTGTTATGTATGCGAGAACTTTTGAGTAAAATTTACTGGTGAGATCGATTAAGGTTAAGGGATTCGACTGAGGATCAGTAGCCTAATACCGACTTATCAAGATCCCAAAAATTGCAAAAAGAAGTGATGAAGTCGATAATCTTTATATAAAGCTACAAACCATCATTTAATACACTACTAATGAGCACATTTTCTTCCCTATTCATCGTTAGGATGTTTAGAAAACTCTATATTCACAATGTTATTTCCAACGCGAATGAAAACATTCACCGAAATGTGTTGGCCACATGTTTAAAAATTGTTCATCATAGATTCTATTTTGTAAAAAATTGCACAACAATGAAATAAACTATGAAGCTATTCAGAAAAGGAAGAATTTACGATTATACGAAATCGCGATTTTTATAAAAATATTGGTATGCGCATTTGTTTTCTGTAATTTATAAAAACGACTCGATACAACATACCTGCTGAAATCCCTTGTTAAGGCACTAATGTTGTGAAGAGGATGAACAGACATTTTCGCCGAAATACACTTTCTTTAGTACCAACAGAAACTTTGCTTCTGATTACACTTCGTATTAGATAATTTGCTAACTCGATTTTCGGAATGTATTGGGTAATAATTTGCTAAATCAATTTTAGGAATAAGAATTTTTCGGTTACAAAATCGCTCAAGGATTTTTAAAATTTCCTAAATGTCATAGGTTTTAATTAAAACTTGATCGTGCTTATCAATGCATTTCTATTCAAGCAATAAATTCCGCCAATTTTTAGAAAGTTTTGAAAATATGACAAGGGGTTTCATGTTAACTCAAAAAATTATATACCTTAATGATCTCCGGAACGACAACTAGATATTACACCTGACTTATGAAGTTTCAGCTCAAAAGATTCTAATCAGACAGTTACGCATGACGTAGACGGACATTCCGATTTTCTTGTACAAAACTGATTGCACCTCCTCTCCACCTGCCACCATCTTCACAATCTTAGGAACACTTGTAATAGACCTTAATCCTCAAGTGTGTGCGAAGTTCCAGTTCAAAAGAACAGTAAACACGAATTTTACGATGGAAAATTCGAGATTATACTGTGGAGGACATTCCAATACTTTTATTTATTTTACATCAAAAATAGTTAAAAACTGTGTGGCATAATATGAGGTGTAAATCATTTTAAAAGAATTAAACGTACTCTCTTTAATAGTAGTTCCTACAATTGGGGGCAGGGAAAGTGCGAGCATCATGGGGTGTGAACGTAAGTGCCGATGGTGGGGAAGTGATCTGAGTACAGTTGAACTTAAATAAATTTTTAAAAAATGTTCACTCTTTAACAGTAGTACTTAGAAATGGGGAGAGGTAAAGTGCGAACATCATGGGGTGTGAAGGTAAAAGTGACAGTGCTGATGGTGGAAAAGTGTTGAGTATTCTATCTGAAATCCCTACACTAACCCATACACAATTCTGAATGCAGATAAAAATGAGCATTTTTGGCGAGAATTGATAAGAAAAGTTCGCTCCATTGTAATAAAAACTATTTACAAATACAAATCGGCTGTAGATTTGGACCATTATTGCTCTTCGTATCCTTAGCGAAAGAATCGTGGAGGACTTCCTGCCGCGAAAACACAGAACGATACTTCCATTAACTATCTTACACCCACAAACTCTAGAAGACTTGCACGGATAATGAAGTTACATTTATGTCCAGACGCCAAACAAAAGGCCATCTCAGCATTCGCTCGGATCAGGGAAACTGGACAAAAACCTGAACGAAATGGGGGGGGGGGGTCATTGACCCCAAAGCTCACAAGTTGTTTACAATTATACAGTCCAAATTATCATTAATACACTCAAAAGCTTTGTTAAAGCTAATATTACTTTCCTTTTTGATGCTAGATATAGTCCCCAATTGTATAGAAACGGTTATGCAGCAGAAAATATTTTACTTTTTCTCCCTATATTACAGATTTAGGAAGAAAAGCAAAATACAACAACCAATAGCCCGTTTTGCCTGTGATCGGAAGTATTGTGAAACAACTTTACTGTAAGCCGATTACTTGACGTAAAACACTTCAAATGAATGTGTCATATGAAAAAAACTTGTGGAATAATAAGAATAGAAATCTCATAGCATGCAAATTCCATGCTTACAAGTTCAATCAAAATACATTATGCATTAGTTTATCCCGTCATCGCTTTGATTTTAGTGCTGTCCGTGGTGCTCGGCATGACGCTGGGGCAACACTTCCTTGGCAGTGGAAGACAACACGCACCTAACCGTTTCAACTTCTTCGACATCGAATTACTGAAGGTACCGTATGAAATTTAAAAAGCTGTAGTTTCTGACGCTTCATCAGAGAATAAGGTAGACACAAAATATAAACACGAAAGTTCTGGCTGAATTGTCTAAGTGCGCCCCGCGAAGTCACAGAGGTTAACCAATTCGAGACAGCGCGGGTTCCTGAATGGGTGACTGCCTGGGTACCGCAGGGATCTAACAGCACCGAGTCCCTGGCTGAAGGGATAAAAGATAATGACTAACTACGACTGACAATGAATACTTACATGATAAATCCGCTATGCGTTCGCCCCGAGTAGGTGGCTATAAAAGGACGGTGTTACGATTTCACGTAACATATTTTTTTTAAAGTAATAAAGGCACTGCACTTGTCCCTTGTACCTCAAAAATATTACAAAGTAACGAGCGAAAATTGGTACACAATTTCGATATGTTTATGACTGCAGGTAGGCTATTCATCAATATTATTTCAACGGCATAGATGTTCTGTGGCATTCATGCGCAACGAACCTTAACAAATGAGGTGTTAAGAGAGAATTACACGGAGAAGAGACTAACTACACTTCCACTTTATAAATATTAATATTTGCTGAAACAATGGTCTAAATTGGCAAAACACAAATGCAATTCTGCTTAACGGTGTGTTTCTTGGCATCGATCGGGCTAAGCAAAAAAGCGTGTTGAAACTTGGATTTTCGAAGCCGAAGGCCTCTAGTTATGATGTCCCTCGTACCACAGTGTACAAAATTAGAAATTTTGGAACCTTTCATTTACATTCTTGTAGGTTGTTCTTCTGAGTGGTAAGGGCGGGGGCGTGCAACATCTCGAATTGTATTCCGCGAATATTTTTACTCCATATGGATAAGAGGGAAAGGAAGAGGGGGCTTTTGCGTGCCTGTAGGGAAGGGTTGATGTACGGGTACGTTAGGGCTGACGAAGAGCTGACTTAAGTCCACTCTTTTTGACTTTTAATCCGACGCGCAATATTAATACCGCCAGGTATTGGAACTGCAAAATTAGTAGTATACACTATTCTCATTTATGAAACGTATACGTAATATTGTAAAACTAGTTTAACTCGTACGGACATGTCGCACATTCGAGCTCTTTCGAAAGTGTTCGCAGCCAGGGAGGGGGTTCCTGGAGGATCGCCTCATTGACCCCACATGCGCTCTCGGGACTTGTTTCCCGCAAAACTACTTGCCCGGGCTGGGAGTTGTACTGGAACACAGTTTTCCACGGTTACGCTTTTATCAATTTTACTACCACTGCAATTCTTCGACACCTCCAAGAAAAGTCTGACTTAAGCAATTTTTCACATTTCAGAAGCATTAATCAAAATCGGACTTATACCATGATTACAATTACACTTTGCCTATTCGAGCAATTTAAAGAAAACGTTTTAAAGCAGGTTCCGAGAAAATCTTGTACAGGTATTGTTGAAAAACTGTCATCATTTGACTCAAAATCACACAAAAACTACTCTATTTTGAACAACTGTACAGGAAATAATTTTAAAAAAGGAATATGGCATGGAGTGATGTTAATACTATAGTAATTTAGAGAAAATGTCCATGAATCACTAAATTAGAAACTCAATAATTTACTTACTCTAGTATTAATATGATTTATCACACCAACTCCCTTTTATTTTCTTTCTTTCATTTGTTAATTTATTTCTCTTATTTTAAATTGATATAAATTGGCTAAAACTATCTATTACATATTTATTAGAACACAAGTGAATTTTTAAAATATTTGATATGTTTTGTATCAGGTAAATGAAGGCAAGAAGGCTAAGCCATTGAAAGCAAATATTACAATAAATAATTAAGTTGGCCAAGACAATGCCTCTAATTCTGTTATTCAGAATGGTACCAACACCACCATTCAAAAAATAGTATTGCGATAAATATTAAATACCTCGGCAATTTCCTCTTAATTTTTATTATACATATTTTACAGGCAATAGCCGAATTACAATAATTAAGTTGATTGACATATAAGTAACATTAACTAAAATAGTTCAGTAACAAGGGTTTTGCATACTTTTCAAATTGAATTCGAATATAAATTTAAATTCACAAATTGAAATTTTCAGTACACTGCTCTCGCGCAAGTCGGATCAATTTTGCCTCCCTCCCCATTAGTACACCACTGGATATGGTCATTTGTTTTCTTTCCAAAAACAATTTGAAACTGTCAAGCCAAACATAGCAATTTCTCCAGACATGTGATTAATAACCCTTCAACCTGCTAATAAGTCCTGTTGCTGAAATTGACAGAGTTATATTTTTTTACATCCATTTTTATTTATTTTTGCCAAGCATGTCAAGGAGCTCCTCCCATAGAAGCATTTATTGCAAATAATTAAGAGTAACAATACATTTTCTGTAACAGTTCATACACTCATTAAGAAAATATTTCGTTACATTGACTAATCAAAAACTGTCCCATAGAAAAGTGCAGAAAAAATGTAACTTAAATTGACAAATCAATTTGCAAACTATCAAATAATGTCCTTTTTGAGACTAATTAGCCATGGTGAGTGATGGTTCAATAGACTCCTACTTTAAGGAGACATATTAGTGCAAAAAGTAATAAATGAGAAAGATTTTTAACATGTTATTCTTTTAATGTATTATTTTTTACAGGAAGTTATTCGTCAAGAAGGAGCTCACAACTTTGTAATTTCACCTGCAAGTGCAAAGGCTGTTCTTGCTATGCTCTGGGAAGGAGCAGCAGGAAAGACAGCAATTGAGATACAGAAAGCATTGAGACTTGAAGGAAGCTCTACATCGCATCAACTGATCTTCAATTCTTTTCTAAAATCTCTAAAGGCATGTATTAAGTTGCTGTAGAATAATAGCTTCAAAAACCCAATAACATTTATTAGTAAACCATATTAACTGTACAATGTAGCTATCAGTCCTCAATATGCTTGGAAACCTCTTGAAAAAAGGTACAACAAAACCCTCAAAATCGTCACACACAGGATTGGGACACAGTTGGTAATGGTTAGAATAAAAAGGGACAGATAATCAGAGTAACAAGAAAGAAAAATGCAAATGCATACGTACTATAATATACTGATGGTTTTTATATTAAGTACGGTATATAATGATAAATATACGTAATGCATACAATAATACAAGCTATGTAATATAAAAGTCTTAAAACAATATGCATGGGCCAGCACTGACAAAAATGAGAGAAATCTAAAGGAGGGATGAGAGGTGAAAGGGGGTTGGGTGTGAGGAGTCCTTAAGTATGTAATACATGAGAAAATTATAAACTTTTCAACTAATTCGGTTTAAGCTTTGATTCAGCATTACAATTAACTAAACCCTTAAGTAATCTAATTTTGAAATTTATTACATGTTCAACCTGCGATTAATTAAGCCTCAATTATACTCTTACTAAACCCGAAATACAGCCATGAACAGAATTTAAATTCTATTCATAGCTATAAATTCTGAGAAGAAGCATGTCATATTTAGGTAATAATTTTAAATAAATTTGAGGATTTTCTTCACTAGATTCTTTCCGTGTTTTAATAATTGGTATGTCCTAACATTGCTGAAAGGATTCTTTGAAGTATAGTTGCCTAAATCCAATAAGTTATGGTTTTGAGATATAAATACCCCTTTCCAATATTTAAAGTTACATGATAACACTAACATAATTGCTTATATGAATATAATCGTGATTATATTTTCAAGTTATGGTAAATTCATCTCATTTTGTATGTTTTGATTTAATTTGTAGGTCAAACATCCTGGTACTGCAGTGGAAATAGCAAATCAAATATTTGTTAGTCCTGAAATAACAGTTAACCATCTGTATCAAGAAGCTCTTACAAACATTTACTTATCAGGAACACAAAATGTTGAATTCACAAACCCGCAATTGGCAGCATCAACTATTAATGGATGGGTGTTAAAAAATACACACGGCCTAATTCGAACTTTGGTTGCACCACGTAATACAATTTGCACTTAAAAGATCAATAGCGGATCTACAATCAGTGATAAGTACTAGCTAGTTTTGTTTGTTCCAGAGGCAATGAATCCCCAAACAAAAGCACTGGTTGCAAATGCTCTTTACTTCAGAGGAAGATGGGCTGTGCCATTTGATAAGAGGGCAACAACTGTACGCTGTTTTTATCCAATACCTTCAGTTTGCAAAAACGCAAATTTCATGGAGACTGTAGGGCAACACTCCTTTGCAAATCTGAGAGATTTAAATGCAAAAGCTCTTGAAATTTCTTATCAGGTACAATATAGTTGGGAAAATTCAAGCAAAAACTGAGGGACATATTGTCCTGTATGTAACATATTGTATGTTATCATGATATAATCTTTCTTACAGGGGTCTAAATTTTCTATGCTCTTCTTATTGCCAAATAATGATATTGATGAGCTGCTACGAGATCTATCTTATCAACCACTGAATACCATAATTCCAAAATTAGAATCTACAACTGTAGTAGTATCCATTCCACGTTTTGCTATTGAATTTGACGTTGATTTGACAGCATCTTTGACCAATGTAAGTAGTAAGAATGATAAAAACTAAGGCATATACACTAGAATTGTTTACAATGAACTCATGGTAATGAATCATTAACATTTCAGCTGGGAATAAAAGATTTATTTACACCAGCAGCTAATTTGTCAGGTATGGTACAAAAAGGAGAAAATGTATTCATTAACAAGGTGTTTCAGAAAGTTGTATTAGAAATTGATGAAGAAGGAACTGTTGGTGCAGCAGCATCAGGTACATTCCCATACAAAATTTAAAATTCTTAATTTTCTGAAACAATGTGTTGAATAACAAAGGAATCCACTACTTGTTAATAATTTTTAGGTGCTGTTGCTGTACCACTTCAAGGACCAACACTTCCCAGATTTCAAGCTTCAAGACCTTTCTTATTTTTTGTTAGAGATATTGAAACAGGAAATTATTTATTTGCTGGCTTTGTAGAACAACCAGAATTAGCCACAGAGCCACTCAATTCAAATCCACCTCAACCTAATTTTTCTACTGTTCTTAAGCCTGTTTCTATCAATCCTGTTGAATCCAAAATTGATGAAACTACTCATTCAAATGGCTCTCCCAATCGCCGGCCAGGTGATGGCTCAGATACTATTCGTTATCCTGTTTGAAGCTTGCCTAAAAATGAAAGTTTAACAACTGTAGAAGACAAAAAAATTGAAAGATGAATAACAAGAAGTGAATTTCCACATTTCTGCAATTTTGAAAATGTTTTTTAAATAAAGAGTTTGATATACATTTTTAGACTTTGAAAGTAAATGTACATGGATGCAAAACACCGATTTAATGTAAATAAACTATGATGTATTTAATTAAAACAACTTAAATGTTATGATCACTCATTTCTATCAAAACTGAACCTAAAAGATAACAATCTTTGTGAAGCCATTCAAGTCATGCAAACATTTCTATTCAATTGTACAAGGAAAAATAGTTTAAAGTTGCAAAGAAATTTCTCGAAACTATCCACCACACACGTTGAAACACAAAGCTCATGATATACTGAATTGACAGATTAAACAACAAAAGATTGAATAAGAATACTGTGCAAGAGTTGAAGATGCCATGACAGGCATGATGACTGTTCCAAGTTTTCTGGAAAACTCGTTCAATATTGAATTGTAAGAAAGAATAAAACTAGAGGGTAGACTGAATTTTCTCTTCTTTTCAGATTTATAGCACACTAATGATTTCCTCAAAATTTTGCAGTTGAGTTGCTACTGATGAAAATGTCCTGAAATTTTGTTTTGTGAAAAATTTACTTTGTAACTTCATTTTAAAAACATTACTGATGGAATCATCACCTTCTATATCTAATTAACAACCGCTGATGAAGGAGACAAGATTACAGAATTAATAAACAAAAACTAATGAAAGAACTATTTTCTGCACAATAAACTTTATTTAAACTATGTTAACAGAAGATGTTAATAATCAAATTTGGTGAATCAATATTGGTTAAGGGTGCATTTAATTTTCAAAATTTTAGAATAATAAATAAAATAAATCAGATTCACCAAGTGCGTAACTCACAGACTAAGAGGACACGAAGATATGAATTGTAGAATCACTGATAGAATTTTGTGGTGCCTCAAAACAAGGTTAGCATAAATTCTCAACTTGCGAATAAGCTGGATAGTCACGAGTGATAAGGAGTACTCCAACTGCTGGTGAAGATCCTTGGAGCATGTAAATAAGAGAATGTTCACTCCTTAAGATGATTTGACTAGGAAACACTTGTCAATTGCCAAGATAAATAAGAAAGGCATAAATGAAATAAGTATTTAACACACAAATACATATTTTTAGGTTCTATGGCTGATATTTTACTGTATGCCAAAACAGTATAATAGGTTTGGGCCTAAAAATTATATGTTTGTTTATTGTAATAAATGTGTTAACTTTATTCATGTATCATTTTCACATTGCCACGAGACTACCACTACCAAGTACCACCTATTTTCAATAACACTACAATGTAAGTACCTACTGCATTAAAACACCAATAATTTGTTTCACTACAGATGGGGACGGCATGCAATTTCATTCTAAACAAGTCTTCAACAACTGAAAGGCATGAGTGAAATGCTCTTCCCTAATGACACTGTTTAACTTGTTATTTTGGGATAACAAATGAGCCTGAAAGGAGTAAACTTCTGGTAGTACTCTGAACACCAATCCAAATCCACACACACATAAAATTGAGCATGGTTCCAGTATTGGAATCAAAGCAACTGTAAAGTTGTAGGTATGGACTAAATTATTGTTATTAATTGCATTATTCACAAAGTGAAATGATATTACCACTTAAGGGCCTGAAAGGTGAACAGTTGGAATTAATTTTCAAATAAATGAATTTTATTCCAAGCAGACTTATAATGTAACATTTTCTTGGATTTTAATGCTCTTTAAGCTGTGAATTGATAACATGACATTCATTGTTACCATATCAATTAGAACAAACTCGACAAATAAACAGAACCTACCTCATTTTAAGATCTATACCACAAATATAAAATCTGCATACATCTGAGTAATTAATACATGAAACATTTATAAAAATAATAGAGAGTATGTGAAACAGTTCAGATAATTGCATAAAACTGATGTTTTAAAATAGAATTACAAACTAACCAAGGCTAGTTGACTTCACCGTAAATCAATTTCACTGAAACTCACCATAAAAGTAACTCAATCAGTAAGTCAATATACCTAAAGTAGCCCAGTGAAGCATATGGGCTTCTGTGTAGTCAATGCAGACCGCTCTGGACCTAAGAGTACGTCTATAAATTATGTAATGCAAATTTGAAGTATTTTGAATACCCTCTATCTGCTCTGTAATGAACATGTTATGTACCGCACATGAATAATTATGTAACACTTGCCATAACACGCTCCCCGCACCTAATTTACAATAAGTAAAAATAAATTATATAACAGTAAAAACAATTTGTATTAATTTTATTTGTGATGTATAAAAATTTATAATTTAAGTTAGAATACGCAGGTGATGCAATGTCCCCAAACATCTTGTAATTTTTAATGAAGAGAGGACAAGCAGGTGAGAAAATTTTTCACACAATCTCAATACCAAACTTCTGAATAAGCTGTGCACACGCCATCATGAAGATGTATGAGCCCCAAGTCTACTGCACCATTTAATTGTATTCTAATTAAGATCAGTTTTGAATATTTTCTTAGTAATCTAAGTTTCAATAAATATACCAGCGATGAAAAAATATTTCTATTTATTGTAAGAATTTATACATCATAACTTTTCAATTTATTTATATTTTTTTAATTAATTTATTTATATTTTTGTAATTGATTTATTTATATTTTTTAATTAATTTATTTATATTTTTGTAATTTATTTATTTATTTATATTTCAATGTTATAGTGTAAGACTGAATAAAAGGAATTATTTTAGCAAATGTTAAAAAAAATTTAAAAATAAATATCAGCAATACATAACACCAACTAAGACCCCCCTACCCCAGGTAAACACAGCGTAACACTGCCTTAAAAAGCCTCCCACAGCTCTTTAGTGTTATGTAATTGATTGACAACCATCCCTAAGGGTCACTACAGCATGATGGCTGAGAGGTTGGCCAGAGTGTATAATGGTTGAGAATTTTTATCTTTAGATGGGGCAGCCTTTAAATCTTAGCAGCTTGACATTAAAAGCCAAGCTTAGTAGCTTGACATTAAATGCTAAAGACGAGTGTTTGTTTTCAAAGAATTTATTATTATATTAATACTTTCATTTTTTAAATATTTCTTACAAATTATTTAGGGTGGGGGAATTTGCCTTTTGGAAATTTTGATTTAATTGTAGAAGTATGAGGGAAATAATTTACTAGTGACTGAAAGTAAGCTGTGAAGGAAATTTGAGAATAAACAGAAGCAATTAAAGTGGTAGTTGTACTGAACCAGAAACCAACCCTGAAAAAAAGCTTCACCTATTTTGCATTTTTGCTGAAGTACCATACATAAAGATCTTAAACTTTGATGCACCCCTAAATTTTCTGATCTCATCCCAGTTGAAAATCCCTCACAGAAAACACATATACAATGAAACAGTCTGATATATAATGGTATGTCACTGAAACTGCAATTATGTTCTGATATACATATTTATTAACCACGTAACCAAATCGCTTCACTCTCAAATTGAATTTTCTGCATGAATTTGTTATTCTTTGATATATTAAAAGAGAACAATTTGAAATAGCAGTACACATGATTTCAATTCCTGAATATATCTTTCTCAAATATAAAAGCGCTTTACCTACTAACATCAAAAAGCATACCTGGTTTCGGAGAAAGAACAGATACAAAGGTGGGCCCATCAAGACTTCTCTCCCCCTGCATACACCACTCTTCCACTACATGGCTCTCAGAGACACTAGGCTTCTCGGATAATATTATCCCATACATATGCTGACGCAATGGCAGATACACAGCAGCTGAAGGGGGCAGGACCACCCTAGGAAATATCCCCTTGTATGTTTGTCCCTCAGTTCTACCTTAACTACCACAATTTATTACACTTACTGACGAAAATCTTCAATGGCAGTACTGGACTCGTATGGTAACTCATGGGAAACTGCATAAATCACGCTTTCAAGTTCACCATTCCTAAAGAGCATTTCTGCATGTTTCTGAATTTTATTCCAACCACTTTTGGTATTCAATGGAGGAGAGACTACAAAATGCAGAGTTGAACACACACTTCATTTCTCTAACATGTAGTATTTAAAAGAATAAATTCATTAAATGTTTAAAACTAACCAGTTGGAGAATTTGTAGTGTAACTCCTTACACTTAAATCAAGTTTAGACACTTTGTTCACATTACCAAACACTCTCCTTGAAATCATGGGCAGAGACTGATTTAAATGCTTTTCATCTGTATGGTGACGTACGAATTCTGCTACTTTGTAAATTATGTTCTGTAGTGTAGGCTTTTGGAACAATTTATGACTGCCTTGGGAATTATTTACAATACTGCAGATTCGTTTATGAAACAGCTGGCAACAAATAATAAGATTATTCAAATTGCTTCTTAGTTTATTAACCATTTTATTTTCTACACAATTGCATAGCCCTTAATTCAATCAATGACATTTCATCCACTTTCCTTGGATCATTTTCAATACTGCCCATTATGATAATATCACTAATACTTAGCCCCATTTATTATGTCCTCACAATTTTGTCTATTTTATCTAAAATCCATTTACAATTTTGTAAACACAAGATTTTTATCTGCTGCACTTCTGTCAACTAGTGTAGTTAATCATATTTTAAAATTTTCTTTACCATCCTTTATGAAGAAATAGAATGAAAACACAGCATATTTAAGGTAGCACAAATGCTAGCTAAATGTTAGTCAAAAAGCAAAGAATTACTATGCATAAAAGGTGCCGACCGTCAATGTTTATCTTTTGCAAATTCTTTAGTAAAAATTAGAATAGGTCTTACTGGAGATGTGAAATATATGATATAATACACTGCTCCACATGGTGATCCCCATTCCTGGCTATTTACAATGATGTGCACATGTATGTTGAAAATAAAGCTGAAGTAGCAGCAAAAGTTAGTAACAGAAAACAAAGAAAAACCGAAGAGCATCTTAACACACTCCCTTCTGAGGTTATATAGAAAGCAAAAGCACATATTCCAAATAACATAATAAACTAATCTGAGAGAAATGCATGATTGTTTATGATCACAAGAGCACAAAAATGTCAAACACACCTGTACACCATATCACACGTTATTTTTATATAGAAGATAATAAATTTTGTATGAAGATAACAATAGATTTCTATAAACATGGTACTACATGATTAAACTGCACAATGATGAAGTGATTATGAAACAGGAAGTAATCTAACATCTTATTTTATCGATTCCTTATATTTTTACAATTAAACATTTAAATTGTACAATATTTACAGTAATGTCAAGTAAATCTTTAGTGGATGAAATTTATTGTGTGGATTAAAAATGTAGTATACAATGGACTGGCCTTCAGGTACTGTATACATTACAATAGAAAGGATGACATAATATTGATGCCTTTTGAAGTGGATATAAATATAGTATGGGCAAAATTGCAATGGACATCAAATCCTTACGAACATACAAGTGGATGAAATGTAGGTGGACAATAAGTATGGCAACCTTCAAACTATTAGAACTAACATTTACATACATTTTATATGTGCATTGCTTACATACCACCAAATCATTTGGCTGAATAAAATCATTTCCGACAAGAGTTGCAAACAAAGGTAGCAATCCTAAGGAGAGTTTCAGATGTCTACACAGTGCCCTACGATCATAATTTTTAGTTGTCATTTTATCAATGTTTAAGTAGCGTGAAGAAAAATAGTATTGTGGTCCATCATATATGATATAATCTGTATCTTGGCCAAGAATAGCAAAACAGTTATGTTGTTTAGCATAAGCTGCTATTTCTTCATCACATTCCTTAACAGTCCTGTGAAACTACAGAAGAAAGAGAAAAATAATATCTATCAATAAGTTATGTTTAAGTTGGGTACTTTTAAAAATTCTCTTTTACCTCACAATTTTCAGTTTTGATAGTAAAAACAGACGAAGCAACTGTGCCAGGAGGGAAAATAAAAGTGTCTCCGGTAAAATTTGAAGGGTGCTCGCCATTTCCAATGAGATCAAAGATTTCATAAACTCCTTTCAAACTCTGCAATCGGCGTTCCACCCATGTTCTCCTTTTCCATGCCTGAACAGGTCCATCCAGAAAGAAGACAAGCTTCACACCAATACTTTGAAATGCCTGAATAAATTTCTGAAATACATCCATGTATTCTCTAACTTGTCCTCCACAAATCCAGTCCAACTGTCCATACAAAGGTTGAATACATGATAATGTATCAACCACAATAACAACTTCTCTATCCGTTCTTTTCCTGAAATAAGGAACGTACTTTCAAATGACATACACTGGAGCCTATCACTCACTGTACACCTGGTTCTGTGGCCTACCTGTAAGCTTCCACAACCTCCTTGATGTTCACTTCATATGCACCATTAGGACAAATATTTTCCATGAACGTCTGCAATCCTTTTACACCCATTTTTACTGTCCTTTCGTGCCCTCCCTAGCGTTGAATGTTGGCGGTCTGTTAATGAACTGCCACGTCGCTCTCGATTAGTTCGTCTGTGCTCATGGACAATAGCAACCTGCCGTCCAATTGTAATCACCTTACCGCACAGTAGTAGTGACAACCCAATTGTTCAAAGCATTGTCACCCCGACGCAGAATTGAACTCGAGTCTCCTCGTTTCAATTCTTTCACGCGCGCGGCCTCGAAAACGAACGCAGAACGGATCTTGAGGGGAACCCCCCCGAGATGGATTCGTTGACTAGAGTATTATATAACCCGATTTACCCACAGTGACATTTCCGGCTCACGGGAGCTTCGTTACGATTCATGTTTGGCATTGGAGATCCCGATTCGGTGACAATGTCCCTTCTCCTTCCAAGTAGTAACCTTCACGTGACACTAAGTTTAAATGGACGTGCCTAAAGGTGTCAACGTGTGATTGAGAATTTAAATGGAAATGGAGTGGTAATAAGTGCAAACTACCGAACCATGCGGCTTCCTAATAGTTTATATCCTATTTGTGCAAGTATATATGGAGAAGAAAACTTATGGGTCAAGAAAATGGAGGTTTTCCTGAAAAACGTTAAGAACACATAATACACGCCAAATGGTTTTTAAGGTGAGAATTCTAATACAATGCGTTGGCCGCTCACACTGCGACCGCGCCGCGAGTGACTCATTCTCGGAAACGACATGCGCATGAACAAA